CAAAGGATCGTATATCTGGGTGACACAAGTTCAAGCTATTCTGAACTTGGCAACATTGTGTAAATGTGCAGCTGGTGCCAGCTTTTGTTTTGACTTGTGACAGGAGCAATCAAACACCTGACACACTCTTTCGACTGTTGATGGTAAAAATTTCCCCTGTATGTGCTGTGGATGAGTTTAATTAACCAATACAAGTTCCTGCAGAAGTACAGGTGGTTTTGCGTGTGTTTTCACCTCATTTGTACATGTAGAAGTGTTGCAATCAAGATTTGCAATGATATTGGTCTTTTCTGGGGGAAACGCTCATCTTTTTCATCTGGTTGGAAATATACAGTTCAGCTCTGTTTTATTTTGTTTCATTTGGTGCTGTGTATCACTGACATATTAAGAATCAGACTGAAATTACAATCAATTTTGACCAAAACTGCACTTTTTGGCTAGAATTCGGTATATATCTGATTGTTTAATTTCGAATCTTATCTTCTCTCCCTTTGTTGTTCGTTCCAAATAACTTGCTTCTCCAGTTTGCCAATCTAAATTTTGAATCGGCATCCCGCTTCCAATTTGCAGGCAACATAATCAAGTAAAGAATCAGCTCTCAAAACCCACCGAAAGTAGGCATAGCAAAGGCACATTTCCTGTATGGACTGACATTTTTTGCTAGTCCTTTATGTTCCGTTAAATCTTAGAAGTCATAATTCTTAACAAGGGCCTTACTACTTGTTCATAATCGCGCTCTCTGGCTGTTCAGGTGCACATCTTGAGATAGGGCTGGATTATTTGTTTTTTTTTTTTTAATTTGTATTTGTACAATGCAGTGTTCTAAGCACTGTCCTTCCGCTGAAAGTAAAAGTGTTCTTTAAGAGAAAATTATAGTTTTGGTCTCAAATATTATGAGCCATGGAGTTTTTAAAGTTTGGACGAAAGTAAATATAATCTCAAACGTTTCATTTTCTAATCATATTTAGTCTCACTGACTAATTTTTATCAATTACCACCAAATCAGGTCACGTGCTATCACGTGTCGACAACCAATTGTTTAAAATATTAAAAAAATGAAAAATATTGTTAGCCATAATTTATACTCCCTCGTCCCACTTTGATAGTCTTGTTTTCCTTTTTTGTCTATCGCAAATTGTAGTCTACTTCCCCATTAAGAAATGTAGTAATCTTTCAAATTATCTAAAATACCCTTATTAAATATCTTGTTATTAATACATTGTTATTAAATACTAACCCACTACATTGAATACATTGAGTTTTTCCAATACTAACCCATTAGCTGTAACTGATATTAATTGGCACTCTTCGTGATTAGCATAAGGGTATTTTAGGAAATTATTAATCTAAATTTATGTTTCCAACCAAATTAATTACACTGTCTTAATCTGTGTGAAAAAAAAAAAACCAAGACTAACAAAACGGGACGGAGGGAGTAGTAAGAAGGGTTTAATTACTCACATGTTGATTACAGTACGTAATTACTCTTTACTGTAGAATACAAAAATTTTGTTGACAAAAAAATGGTTGAAGACTAATTACTCACATGATATATAAAAAAAATACTCACGTGATCGAAATATGAGTAATTAGTCATCTTTTATTGCAAAATTATAGCTAGCAATACTTCATCAAATTTTTTTTCAAAAAATTGGTTTCTGACGTGTGACTTGATTTCGGTAGTAATCGGTAAAAATGGATCATTAGAACTAAAGATGCGTAGAAATTGAAACATTTATTTAGGACTGCATTTGCTTTCATTAACCCCGAATCAACAGCGTTCCAGGTTGACTATTGACCAAGCCAACTAGTAGAGACTAGAGAGTCTATCTTGGAAAACTGATAGTAGAATAAATTTCAGCCATTACTTAGAAAGCCAAAAAAAAGAAAGTCAAAGTCAAAGTCAAAAGCTGGTTGGAATGCATTTTTAGAAATACTACATTTGATTATTTAAGGCCTACCGTGCAATTTTAAACTGTAGTTTAGTCAGCTGTACTGGTCTGAATCGAATCCGGTGATCACTGGTTGACTTTCCGACTCTTGAACGTTTCTATATCGTATTTTCTTATGCGCGTATTCGTATGACTTCTAGAAGCTCGACAGCCTCGTACCCCAAGATCGACAATAACCAACCGGGCTTTCTTCCTTCTTTGCTACCTGAAACTTCAAGGTGGTTGAACCCAACAAAACGTTGAATGAATTATTGCAGTTACTACTTTCTCAATGTCCTCGGGAGGAACCTAGTAACTCTTTGGTTCTGCAAAATGTGGGAGATTTTCAATATGAAAACATACTACTCCCTCCGTCCCATTTTGTTAGTCTTGATTTTTTTTTTCACACAGATTAAGCAAGTGTAATTAATTTGGTTGGAAACATAAATTTAGATTAATAATTTCCTAAAATACCCTTATGCTAATCACGAGAAGTGCATTGGAAAAACTCAATGTATTAAATGTGGTGGGTTAGTATTTAATAACAATGTATTAATAACAAGATATTTAATAAGGATATTTTAGACAATTTGAAAGATTACTACATTCCTTAATGGGAAAGTGGACTACAATTTGGGACAGACGAAAAAGAAAAACAAGACTATTAAAGTGGGACGGAGGGAGTATCTATTATCCTCATGGAAATCCAAGAAAATGACAACATCCAGTTTAGGGCGGGCGGTGAATTAACTATTTCAGGTAACAAAACAAGGTTCAGGGAGCAGGCGGGCATTTTCTCCAGTTGTTGTTCCCTAGAATCTTTGCCAAACACCAGATTCTCAACATATCCAAGAAATTAATTGCTGGTATCATGCTTGCAAAATTGACACAGTAATATGATCTAGTTGCTCCAATCTTGAATCGGTATATTCGAGCCAAAAAATTGCTGGTGGTAGTATAGCAAGCAAGATAAGAGGTATGATCAAGAGCTCATTGCATCATAGTAATTCTTCATCATCCTCCTCAGCCAGAGATGCTCTTTCCTTCTCCTTGATGTAGCCATATTTTCTGAGAACCCACAAATTCATCCGGGCTACATTCCCAAGAAAAACAACACCCATGAGTGACAACCATGTCAAAACAGATATCTCAGTAACTTCTTTCAACATTCTCTGAACATTCGTAGATTTAGGTGACATATTCCGCAGTGTGATAAAATAAGTCCCAACTTGAGCTGTGATCGCAATCCACACGGTGATCATCTGAAACCACATATATCGCCTTCTTCTGAGAGGTAAACCGCTAACAAGGAGGAGGATTATACTCAGAGATGAAAGGAAAGCAACCGTGTTGAAGATCATAAATATGCCATAATCTTTGGCTGCCTTATAAGCCATCACCGATGTCCCGGCAATGTGAGATTCCGGATTGCCCTTGTCATCGGACATATAATCATCCTGCCAAACTCCGCCTGGTGGCGTTAGGCATGCTTGAAACGCTGTGGTTGCAAGCAGAGATGCCACCACCATCAATGCACTTCTCTTTCGGCCGAGCCAATCCGTGTGTTTGTGTTTTGGAGATGGTATCTGTGCACTACTGCTTGGCTTGGAGGACAATTTTTTTGCAATCTGAGGAAGTGTATCTTCAAGCCCATCATCTGTGATCAAATGCAAATCCTTTGCACCTAATGCTCCAGCTTTTCTCAGTGAATTTTCAATATCCATATCTCTCAAGTCTCTTGGGCTTTGATTTAGAACATCCAAAGCTGTGATACCATATTTATTTAATGCATTTACTTCAGCAGGATACATAGTGAGCAAAAGATTTACAATCTGCAAAATTAATTGGAAAAAATGCTTGCAGTTAACAACTAGAAACCAGACACCCCACACTCTAATTACTCTCATATTTGCTAGTTTCACAAAATAAAAAGGCAGAAAGCAGGAACCTAGGATCAGACACATCAGTGAGATCATAACTATCATTCGCAACTAAAAATGAATTTCAACTTCCAAAGAAAAAGTTCTCTCTTTTTCCGAGCCAAAGTCCAACACTTTGTGAATTGACAAATGAAAGAGGCCTTTCCTCAAGATTAAATATACAGAACGAAAAACTGCTAGATCAATCTAGTAGAGAAATACTAATACTACATCCAGCAAGTAAAGTTCAGCAATTTAAAGGAGATTGGGAAAAAAAAAGGAAAAAGTACCACAGTTTAAAAGTTTACCTCAAATTGCTTTTTGGTGACAGCAGTATGCAAGATGGTGTTCCCATCAGAATCCCTCCAATTAACCAATTCGCTATCTTTCTTAACAGACTCAGTAGCCAGCAACTTCAACACCTCCAACCTAAAGTACTTGACACAAAGGTGCAATACCGTCTCCCCGCGGTCAGTCAACACTCGGGTCAACTCGGGCTTAACTCGGACCAACTCAGCCACTACCGTAACTCTCCCTTTAGCCACAGCAACATGCAGAGCAGTCCTCCCCTCCAAATTCCTCACCGAACCCACCTGGGAATCTGCTTTGAGGAGCTCCTTGACCACCTCAACATGCCCTTTTGCTGCTGCCAAGTGCAGGGGAGAGCAGCAGGAGGAATCCAACTCGGATGCTAACTCGGGCTTCGAGCTCAGCAGTTGTTTGACAAAATTGACGTGGCCTAAGATTGATGCGGTGTGCAAGGGAGTCTCTGATACGCAGGAAACAATAGTCTTGTCTAGAATTAGCGGATCTTCCCGGAGAAGTTGAAGCAAGGATTCCACATTTCCCTCTGCTGCTGCTTCTGATAGCCTTTTTTCCATACTTCTTCAGTTTGCGACTTCTGTACATACTGCGTGATACTCCATATCATTTATCATATAACAATCTCCCTGTTTAAAGATATATGCCATCTTTCTCTGTGGACACTGTTTTTTCCTTTATTTTGGGGATAAATTTGTGTCGACGGAGTCAAGATTGGATACTAAAAAATGGGTTTTGAATTCTCACAAATTCTAATTAACGTTACATTTACGGAAATTGGGAGGGTACCTAGTTTGACTGGCTAAGTTTTTAAGGCAGGTGGGGCAGCAGCTGATCGACTGAAAGCGGAGAATTATGCAAATGAGAAAACTAGCTGTTGCCAAACTGAAGCTTCCGTGCCTGTTTGACTTCAGGTGCAGGGAACTAATGGTTAAAAAAAAAAAACTGACGTTTTGTTGCTTTCATGTTCTCTATCAGGGTGATTTATCCAAAAGAAAAAAAAAATCATAAGTAGCTAAAAGAATCTCATCGGTTTTTCTATTTTTTCATTATTATGGAGGTAAAAGCATTATATTGTTTATTTTCTTCGGACGAGTAATTGCAAATTTAACCTATATTTTGACTGTTTGTTTCCTTGTTGGTGGTCAATCATCGATGGAGTTATAGTTGCAAGGGGAGCCTTGTTTAATTCTTTAAACATATAGATAAAGAGGGGAAGCCTCCTGCCACCTAGGATGGTCGTCCGCCCATGTGGCAACTGGGGATTGGCCGGTGGTGCTGCCAGGTAGTTTTTTTTTTTTTTTTTTCTCATGGGCCTCTTTTGTTTTTGTTTTCCTCAGAGACAATTGTGATGCTGTCGTTGTTTTTGTTTGTCATTAGTCATAGTCATTAGTCATCAGTCATCAGTTAATCATTTTTGGGGATAGCAAGCTTGTTGGTCAATGGTGAAATTACGCTTTCCCCACCAAGATTTATTTTTTTGACTTGTTTTGTTTTTCTGAATTCGTTGGTAATATTTTGTGGGGGTGTGTCCATCTATGTAAAATTACCTTTGCCGCCAAATTTTGGCTGTCTGAGACTTTCAGTTTTTTTACAGTTCAGCTGCTCATCTCTGTACGGCTATGGCAGGATCTCTCATAACCGTTGGACAATTTCGTCGATTTTCTGTTGGACAATTTTCTTTTTTGGGTTCCGTTCGGGCTGCTTCTCTTCATTCTGCCTCCTGCTCGCTGGTTTCTGCTATCGCTTGTTTGCTGTTTGCTGTGCTTATGGTTAGTGTGGTCTGTCCTCATGCTTGCTTCTGGTTTTCATTTTTTTTGTTGTCTTTTACCTCTGTTTATCCTATATTCCTTTTGTTTCTGGTTGTTAGCTTTATAGGTGGCTACTGTTGCATTGCCGCCTTCCATAACCACAGGTGTGTGCTCTTAATCTTTCTTCCTCTGCTTTGTTATGATGCATTAATGTTCTGCATGTTCCTGTTTCTTTTGCTTCCAAAGATTTTCCTACCTTTTCTATTGATTTTTAGCTCATTTCACCTCTTCGTTAGCTGCTTTTGTTAGCTTTTTAGTCTACTGCTGCATTGCCATTTTCCGTGAACCCGCGTCCGGATTCTTAATCTTTTTTTGCTCTGTTTTTTTGCAGTGAGATGGTCTCCTGTTGCTTGCACTTATGCTGTGCATGTTCACGCTTCTTTTGTTTCCAGATGTTTTTTTCCTTCTCTTTCGGTTTTCTCTCATTTTCTCTTGCTTTATTTATTTATTTTTTTGCTCATTCCTCAGCTTTCTTTCTGATACTTTCTTTTCGCGCTTTATTTGTTTGCTGTAATGCTTGTTAGTGCCTTCTGTGACCTGCTTTCCTTCTTCTCACTTTTTGCCCGTGTTTTTCTGCCTTGTTTTTGTTCTTCTGTGCATGCTGAAGTTTTGATCTTTTTTTTAATCCTGTAGATATTGGCTGCGGCGTCCCTGTTCCTCTTGGTGATCCTTTTGCTTTGGAGGCGTGTGCTCCTTTTTTCTGGCTCTTGGCATCAGCATCGGTATACTCCTTGTTGCCATGAGCTGGAATAGGTGTTCCTCCTGTTTCTACTTTAGACTTCTTTTAATCAAATTATATTTCTTGTTTCTTGGCTATCCAGGTTCTAAAGCTCAATGAGGTTGTTCTTCTACCAATCTGCATTCAGCTTGACTTGTTTACTAATTAACAGTTTTCCTTAATAGATTAGTGGCTATTATTATATTGATTTGCCATGGTAACTGCTTTTAAATGGTTTGCATTAGCTGGTTGTCAACTGCTTAGCTGGTTATATAGTGTGCATTGCATTTGTAAACTCATGACTTGTTTTCTTGTTTCTCCGTGACGCTCTTATTTTATATGCTAATGTTTTTGAGTGACTGTTGTTCCTCCGGTGTGTCTAGCTTGATATTCTATTTGCTCGTTGCATATGTCGTTGCTCTTTGAACTGTTCTTTGTTATTTCTCTTGCCTCTTTCAGGAAATGTTGTGTGTTTTGTTCACTGGGACTCACTTTTATAGATATAAATCGTTAGTGTTTTATGTTATCTGTCCCATTTGCTGTTAGTTGAGCAATGAAAACGTATTTATGCCTTTTCAATTTATGTTAGCTGCTCTGCACTAGATGTTTGCTTCTTTTTCCTTGGTTTCGCACTGTTGCTGCACTAGATGTGCTGCTTCCCTTTCTTACATGCAGATTATATGTGCATCTCCTGGAGTTGTAGCCACTTTCTACTCTTCGAACTATGTGACTTTTATTGTTAAACCTCCTTGCTCATTCATTCTTTTTGGTAAATTCGTTTAGCCTCTTCTGTTTTTATTTTGCAAGTTTTCCTACTTTTTTTGCTATCATTTGCTATTCCTTTCTTGTAGGTCTTGTTTCTGTTAGTTTGCTTGGATAGTTTGTCTACTATAGATGTTATGTGGTATGAGAGTAGCCATATATATCACCTTCATGTCTTGCTACTATTCTGGCATTTTTTGGCTGATAGCTAACTTGTGTTTGGGAGTGTGTGAATTATTTACTTCATTGGTGCCAGCTTAATGGATAGAAATGCCAAGCATCGCAAGCGTTATGCAAAAATGCCACAGGAAAAGAAGGATAATCTCTGGGACGTCTTTGCTGCTGAGCATCAACTGGAATTGGATGAAATTTTAGCTTTCCTTCCTGAATCAGCTTACACCTACAATGTTCTAATTTTTTATGAGTATGGTGTCGAAAAGCAGTTCTCGTGGTATCATAGTTTCCATGTGTACTCCATCAGGAAAAATGAGTGAATTTAGATCTATCAAAATAAGAAATTTTCCTGCGCCATCTTTTTTCAGCGTTTAGTACAAGGACTAGAGGTGGCAATATGGATAAATGGTTCATAATTGGTTTTGACTAAATGGATGGTAGATGAAATTTATCCAATTCATATAGATCCATTTAATAAATGGATCTAAATGGATGGATCTAAATGGATTAAATAAAAACCAATTATCCATTTATAATCCATTTAAATATTTTGGTTACTTTGTTTTTGTATTACCATTTCTTGTAATATGAATAGCTTTGAGAAAAAGCCGGAATATTTATAAACACAATAATCTTGGACTAGTCTAAATCGTGAATTTCTGGACGTCCTAATCACTTTTTTTCTCACCTTCATTAATTTGATGTGGATCTATTCTGCAAGTTTCCGTTAATAATTCTACAGCATCTGAGATGTCAATTAACAACCACATGCCCCAAGTCTTCAGCGTGCAAAGGGCGTTGGAAATTAGTTATGTTTAAGTTGTTAAGATTTTCCCACTCAATCCTTCGTTCAACAGCTGTCACATGTGGTCCTTCATTCCCAGTTGGTTCTAGTTAGAGGGATCTATCCGTTTCTTTTATTTGGTTTTTAGGGAAATGGATATATGTGATTTTTGTGGATAATCCATATAAATCCATTTAATTTAATGGTTTTACTTGGATCAACCATTTAAAACCAATACCATAAATGGATAATCCAAATCCATTTAATTATGGATTATATGGATGGATAAATGGATTTCAATCCAAATTGCCACCTCTAACAAGGACTATTTTTGCTCATGTATTATTCCATCCTCCATAACTCCTTTTTCTTTACTAGCTTAAACTTAACAAATGAAAAACTCTCCTACCGAAAAAGTTGCCTGCAAACATTTCGTTTTTCTAGCCTCTATGCCTCTGCACTCACTGCTAAAAAGCAGCCAGAGTGCATATCACAGGTTATAGAATAAGAAAACGAAAATGTATTTGGATTATGTCATTTTTCTTTACCACGGTGATTTGGAACTTGCATTGTAATGTTTTTATTAATTATTGCCTCTCTCTTACATGCACACACAAAACTGGAAAATTAAAGGGTACTATGAAAGCTTTGGTGTCCTTTTGATAATTTACTTCTTGCCTAGGTTGCTATTTAGTTGTGTTTCTTGCATTTATGATTCTTTGCCTTGGTTCTTTTTCCTTCTGTTGCAATTGGGTATTGGATGTCAGGCTGCTTATACTGGATTCTCTAGGTCAATATGTAGCAGCTTTTGCTATTAGCTTATTGAGTGGATGATGCTTTAGAGTTTCTCCTCCCTGTAGACTCACCATGGTGTCTTTGTTTTTGGGGAAGAAGAAAAATTTGTATCAATCCAAGTGAAACTGAATGCATTATATTGGAATAGCATTAACTTCTCGTGTGTACATTTTAAAGTATAGCATATTCATTTTCTTTGCATACTTAAGTGTACACCAGGAAAGCAAGGAATTTCAAATGTTCTATCTCTTTAAATATAAAATAACCTATAGAATTAAAAAAATTCCAACCCAGCTTAATAAGTTCTCTATACAACAAATCTCTTCTAAAATAAATATTTACTGTACTCTCAACCTGGGCATACCAACAACTTACCACCGTGCGCGAGCACGGTGAACATCTCCTAGTCTTATGAATGCATCAAAGGATGGATGGATACCATGGAGAAGGAGAAAATGATAATGGTGGGGTAAATTTGATTAAAGGTCTATCAAACAATCCACCCTTTCAAGTGTTATATTTTGAGAAATATAAAATTAATTAAAAATATATATATAAGTAAATACAATAATTGTTAATGTGTATATACATGATAAATTGATTGAAATTTATGTGCATTAACGAGTGCTTATTGATCATCAGTTCAAAAGATTCATTGATTAACCTTAATCACTAGATTACAAGTTTAATGATGTATGTTATTCGTTGTTTGGCACTTTGGTCCGTACTTTGTTTCAAATAATTTGCAATAGCCTTTTTTTTTTTTTTTGAGAATTTTACTTTACTATTAACAAGAGAATTAGTTTCTGGCTTCTCTCCTGTATTATTTTTCCCTTGTTTATCCAGTTTGCTTTGGGGAAGTTGAATTAAGTATCTGAGACAAATAACCTTTGAGAGTTTTCACGAGAGGCAGGCAGGCCAAGGAATTTTTTGGTCGAATCCAATTAAATATTTGATTTCCAAGACAGAGAATGATTAGTGGATTTTACTGATTTGGAATCTCAAATTACCACCGGAGAGTTGGATGATATGATCGAGTCATTGCTGAGTTTCAGGGCATTGTACTCTGATCTGGTTTTTTAAGTTGTCGATCGCATATGAAACAAATTAATGTTGTGGAATCATAAGCATAAGCACAATTGAAGAGATTATACTGCTTTCGACTAGGCATCAAAATTCAAAACTGATTTCGAAACAAGAGAGAAAGTGCGAGTCTCTATTATAAACCTTGCAGAATCACAATCTGCAAAACTTCATAGCATTACCATTCATCAAGGAAGCTTCACCCCTAGTTCCCTAAAATGATAAAATCTCTACATAATTAAATCAGAGTCACATCAATCAAAGGTGTCCAAGAGTTTAAGCTAGAAAATATTACCCAGAAACAAGTTTAAACAAAGATTATGACACTAACACAGAGACATTTCCGTCACGCTTAGCTAATGACCAGCCAGCTAGATGGTTAGCTACTACAGTCTAAAACTGGGGCAATTACAGAACCTGAGACCCAACACCACACCTTCGCACAAAATACTTCAAGGACGCGATCTTTTGTTGCTGCAAGATGGGCATTTATACTGCTTGATATGCTCAGCCCGCGCAGGAGTGATCTTGACACACTTGCCATGGAACCACCTTTCACACACATCACAACAGATCCAAAATTGATCCGAAGTATAGTGCTCCCCACATGCTCCACACAATGTCTCCCCATGATCCTCATCTTCTTCTTCATCTACTAAGTCTTCATTCTCGTCCTTTTCTTGGACCTTTGAGTACTTGCTCTGTGATTGAAACCAAATAATTTAACTCGTATTGGCAAAAACTGCTATAACAGACAGTAAGACAAAATCTATTCGAGAAAAAGCTGATGTCAAAATCTTCCAATTACTGGGAAAATGCTTAATAGAGAATCCAACCAATTTTACTAGAAAGAAAGTACAGACCCCGACTCCAATACCTTATGCCGTAACAATTGACAGAATACACCAAATAATGAATAAAACTTGAAAGATCATGCTCAAAGCAACTTGCAAGTAAAACACATTTGAAGCAAATAAGAGCTGCCTAAAAATTTCCTCAACCTAGATATCAGAGCAATAGAACCTTTAAGGCATCATCTATGACATATGGCAGACTCAGCATAATTAATCCTCCAAGGCTCATTCTCTCTAAAACTCCTCTAGCCATTTTGACATGATCAGACCACGGAACATCACATAATGAATAATCTTCTGATAGAACCAAATTAGATGCTTGTACCGGTTTTGAGTTTGACTTGGATTTGCTGCTGCTATGATTTGAGGCAGATGATTTCTCTTGAAGTTCCTTCTTGGCAGCTCCAGTTACAACTTCAAAAATTGTTGGGAGATCATTTATCATACCAAAGAGCCGTTTCCTGAATCACAAAGCCAAAGAAGTTAATGAAACCGCATCCAACCAATATGAAAACATAAACTAATCAACTTGGTTTCAATTTGATGCATCCACAGAAATCAACAACAATTGCTGGAAGTAAACTAGCAAGTATGGTATTTATTTACCATCGTCTTAACTGCCTACTTCCAGACCACTTTAAACTCTGTTAGAATGAGCATATTTTCACACCATATGCGACCTAAAATACACTATTGAAAGAAGTATCACAATTATGTTACACAATGATGGTCAGGACTAATATGTGGCCAAGGTCCAAGATGTAACCCATTGGTGTATGAATGCCTTGCTGAAGACAACGGAGAGGACCATTCATCTGTTAATCTCAGCATCAAGGAGTTAAATGTTACAGTTACCCCTGCCTTGAGAATACCCCACTGAAGTGCTAAACATTAGTTAAGAGTAATATTTTTGTCAGTCCTGTTCAAGGGAGTCTTTACTAGGCATGAGGCTGCCCTTTTTACATGCTGGCCAGCAAAAGAAAAAAAAAACCATAACCTCAGGTTCCACACTATTTCACAACTGCCTCCAGATGTAAATGTAGCTCCTAAAAGGTAAAAAACTAAATAAATAGTATGCCAAATAACCAACAACCAGCAAATAACAAGGCTGAGTTCTGAATTTATAGAAAGAAACTTAAAATTCAGTCTAATTTCCCATGCAACATTAGCACTTCAAGTTTGATACAAAATTTATTGTTTTAGTCACATTTTATTTCAAACGAAACTGACTGAGAGCAAAAAAGAAACAAGGATGCTGAACAGGCAAAAGTGGAAAAGTATCATCACTTAGCTTCACATGTTACCTGTCAGCTTTATCAAAACCAAATCTGGCCCCAAAATAGAAGGCAACAGCAAATAGCCACGCATCACTGTGCACAGCAACAAGGGCCAACCAGTCCTTTTCTTGCATTCCATCCCTGGCAAAATTTATCCCTAATGCAGGCTCAGGAAGCTCTGGAGGCACCTCTTCAGCAGGCAAATTAACTTCCCACTGCTCATTAGGAAAACCATAAAGGCAAAGATTTTCCTTCTCTGTAAGGTTTAAGAACTCTCAAATTATGCAGCAATCAAGAGATACACTAGCATCTTCAGTATTCTTTATTACGATAATGTACAAGGAACTCATATTATATGACCAAGCAGCTGACAAGTACACTTACACATTAGAGAGAGAGAGAGAGAGAGAAGACAAATACAACAAATGTAGGATAGCACATCTCTGCTTCCAAGGACATGATGAGAAAGATTACATGTCATTAGCTTGTGAAAATCATCAAGATGTCCTCAAGACCAAGCTCAGCTGGTAGGAAAATTAAATGGCAACCTTCAACTCTAAAGCCTTTCCCTTTCCCCTTCCCCCTAGTAAGGCTTTTTATCTCCCTTAAATTGATTGAAAAAAAATAAAATAAAATCAACAAGACAACCTTCACTAACTTTTGGCATACACCACAGCAAGACAACCATTTTATTAGTTATTCCTTACAGGACATTAGTCCTCTAAACAAGAAAAACTATTACGAAAAAGTCAAACCAGAATTATATGTCAGATAATAGAAACTTGGCATTACTGTCCATCAAAAATTGAAAAGTCATCCAATCCAATTACTCCAATGGTATGAATAGAATCAAGCATTCAGAAAAGCCAGGGCACACTTACAAGTGTTCCACTGTTCCTTAAATTGGATTTAAGTGTGTCTAGAATTTCATATTAGATGAATTAACACTCCATATACATAGAAACGAAAAATACACCTACAGTAATCTAACTAGTATTGCAATATGACATGTTGAAGTATGAAAGGGGAGTGTAAAGGACTTTTCTGAGAACTAAGGCATTCAATTAGAAGGCAAAGAAATGGAAACATGAACATCACAGTAATCAACTTTCATCCTCAAAAAATAATAAGATGAGAAGAGCAGTAAACTTCTTTTGCACTCTTTTTAGTTCAGTACGAGGATAAAATCGAGAAATATCAATAGAGGGCCAAAGTGAACAGTACACACAAGACTACCTTTCTAATCCTAAGGTATGACTGGCACCAGTCTATGACAACCAAACTAAATATACGTGTAAGATGATATGACGTACTTAATCAGTCATGCACCATCATCTATTTCAGTCCTCCGCAAATAACAAAGCTATCTTGCTTTCCAGCGCCTTTTCATATTCTCTAAAAAGCCATACCACTACAAGATAGCTGTATTTGAAAGGGAACTGAAACCTTTAGAGTTTCTAAAGCACTTTGTAGTTTGTATGTAACACTAGGTTAAGTGTAAACTATAATATGTCTGGCTATAGAACTTTAATTTAATAAAGATGAATTAACAGGTTTTAAAAGACAACAAATTGGAGAGTCAGAAAGAAAAGTACAAAATTATGGTGAGAGACTCTTATTGGAGCATAAGTGTCAAACATTTGATACAAATAAAGCGAAATTACTCATTAGGCATCGGAATGGTATGCTAATGACAATGCAACAGCCATTTGTTAACGTCCATTGGACCAAGCAAGAATTGTATTAGGGCCACAAGACCCTCCTCCTTCCAGAAACAGCCAATACACAATCGCTCTGGCAATAAACTATCAAACTTGGAAAAAAGAAGACTTAGAAAAGCAAACTAATGCTGCTAATCACGATGAAAGAATGCCGGAAAAGATAATGCAAATCGTATCAAAATTGAATTCCACATGGGCCAGAGTTTCATAATAAAACCATAGAATCCATCAAGCTATTAAACAAAAAAAAAAAAAAAAAACAAAAAAAGCTTCACGCAACAGCGAGGCTCACAAGAGAGAAAGAGCAATCTGACAAGTAAGATGATGAGTAGAAAAAAAAAAAAAAAAAAGTAATTACTCAGTAGCATTAAAACACAGAACTCCACCCACAAAGTCATAGAAGAGCAGAAATACAAAGAAATGGAAAAGAAACAAGCAAACAAAAAATTAATGGGTAAAATGGAGAAACAGAAGACTGTAATTTTCTGATCAAAATGAAGGCAGAAATAAAGAGAATGCAACTGCAGAGCGAGTAATGTCAACAACCAGGACAAAATTACTACTGTATGCAAGCCCGTATACCAGGAAAAACGAAATGAAAGGGAGCATTAATTAGTACTACAAGACACGTAGGAATAATAAACGTTGCAAGATAAGAAAAGAAGAGAAAAGCAAAACTAACCAGGATCGCAAAGCTGGTAAAAATCTTCAACCTCTGCCAAAAATGCCAACAAAACCACGTTATGATGCGAAAATCCAAAACCCTAGTGCTTCAAAATGCAATTGGAAACGAAGCAACGAAAACTTCGAACCACAGAAGAAAGAAACAAAAAAAAAAAAAAAAAAAAGGCTCGCAAGTCGCAAGGACATAAACAGGGGAAGAAGTGTATGGGAAATTGCAGAAGAAGTACCTTTAGTGAGAGCTTTGATCATGCCAGCACGACGCCCTTTGAAATCCCTGAAAACTTCTTCCACTGTTCGAGGATTATAGCCTCCTCCTCCTCCGTCCATTAGAGCTGGCTTTCTAGTTTTTTACACGCAGTCAGTCCCACACACACTCACAGAGAATGTATGAAGCCCAAGAGTACTGCTTGTTTTTTTCCTTTTTTTTTTTTTTTTGGCTGCTTCTATCTGACTCTTGCAGTAACACAACACGGAAAAGAATAAATAAATAATTACTAAAGGGATATATTTATTTATGGAGTCGATGAGTCTGAAAAAGGAGGAGTCTAATCTGGAGTGGCCCAAATAGGGGCCAGCGGGAGGGTTATGTTTGGAATTTTAAATTATTTCTTAGCGGTCCTGTGTCGCTTTCTCGTTCCCGGGGAGCAGTTTTCATCATGGACCATGGTCCCTCTCGCTCGCTCGCTCGCTCACTTGGCTTCTTTAACTTTTTCCCCCCCCCCCCCCTTTTTTTTTGGTTGGGGGAGGAGAGGTTCTGTGACCGTGGGAAGGGTACTTTTCTTTGGGTGCTGACGGGGCAACCCGCCAAATCCTCCGAGGTGTGATCTGAGTTGGTTTTTGTGAGCTGTGATTTTGGGAGTATTTGCGATCGATGGGCAGCATATCACAGGTGCAAAGTGAAGTGCCACGGAGAGAGAGAGAGAGAGGGGTCGGGTCGGGGTGATACTACTCGTAGCTTGCAGCTGCAGGGATGGGAATTGGTTGGAGAAATGCTATCCTGCACCCCGACTGCATCAGGGTACTGATGCTGATGATGGTGGACGGATGGGCATCCAACGGCGGGGGACTTGATAGGGAGTAGGGGTTGCAGCTGTTTGTTGGGCACAGGACCACAGGGGAGTTGGGGGTACACGTGGCGGGAATAGGTTTGGGTGGTGAATTGGCATCATGGATCAGGGGCTCCGCACAAATGGAAGCTAATGTAGAAGCCGTACAAGTAGTGGAAGGACTAGGAAGGGGTAGCAGAGCGCAGCAGAGAGAGAGTACAAGTTGCTGGCCCGTCTCAAGAAGGGGAGACGAGACGTTGTAGAGGTGTTGGGTTGGCAACTGGCTGGTCCGGAACCGGAACCAACAACTTCTTGGGTCTCTGGGTGTCAATGGAGTGGAGGAGGACAAAATCAAGGAAGGACCGACTTGAGGCCGGCAGGCAGAGCTGGATCAACAGACCAGGTACACACACAAAAAAATCCATCCACCCATCCAAATTTTGCACTGATTAAGTTGATGTTTTGCGCAAGCAGCTGCAGCCACGGACTCGAATCTCACAATACTGCTCTGGAAAGAGAGAGACTAATAAACTACCAAATACCAATAGCAGGAACGGAAAGTTTCAAGTCTGCAAATTTGCTCCACGTCATTTATTTTTCGAGGCCTTCTGCCCAAATTTTTTTTTCTGTTGGGTACTCCCAACTCTTCTAAATCAACTGTTGGCCGTCGGGCACGCTCGAAGCCATGACCATCATTTTTTATATTTTTTTATTGGGTCTGGTTATTGTAGACTGAGCTTTGACTTAGGAAGGTCGCAGCCCATAATTCCCCCCAGACACAGCATTCCGCGAGGGCCCGCGTTATTCATCCCACAGGAGATGCACATTCAACTTCCCCGCCAACACGCGCTTAATTATCTTCTCATATATATTCCTTTAGCTAACGAGCTCCCCAGATCCATCTCCACCATAACCCAATACTATTAGACAGCCACAGAAGAAGACATAGGGAAGAGGGGAAGGAGCAAATTCGGCCATTTCTATTACAACTAAATCTGATAATATGTATCAGCAGACTACTCTTATGGCGGCATCTAAGGTAAACTACTAGCCGAGGGCTGAGGCGTGAGACCTGACCTCCTACAAAAGAAAAAGAATGAATCTGACCTATTGCCTCCGGCCATTTCTAATCACAATTAAATCTCTTATGAATGGCCAAAAATACTGATGATAGAGCAAAATCACCTTATAGCGCACGCAGACGCCCCCCAAACCTATATTATGCAGTATGTAAGGCTGCATTCAGTATCTTGGCGTGGAATCCACGAGATGGATAAACGAATCATATCCTCTAGAAGCCCCATCAATCCGAATAAATACATATTAACAGCAACTATAATCAGGGCAAGCAAGCCTAATATAACAGTGGAACTTGAGACCTCGGATTCATTGGTAACTAACAGTATGGACTACTCGTGCCATAGTTCACAATAAGAGTTGTGATACAAGCAATTTTACTGATAAACTCCAAGTGTAATTCTGAGATTCTTCTAGATTCTTATTCACACAAGGACAATCAGTCAGACTTTTCTTGCAAGAGCAATTTGTCAGTGTCAATATGTATATCTACCAAGGCCGTCCACAGTTTCGCATAATTTGTAATTGGTGTGCCCAAAATTGTGTCCACAAGACAAAAAACTTGGGGGACACATCAACACTGGTCTTGCAATCACAATGAGCTAGCGGTCACTGCAATACCAAAGAAAGGTACAGAAGCTTGAATGTCACAGCAGCCTGAACTCGTGGACTACGCCTCAAATAACTGCACCCCAGCAGGTCACCTTGGATCAAAACCTAAGGTGCATAGCAGGGGGGGGGGAAAATGAATAGTTACTATCTGAAAAGTGCTTGGCACATCATTGTTTGGAATTTGCTTTGCATAATGAAGCACAAAGTCATCACACGGTCCTCCCGAAACTTGGGAGAATTTAGTCTTGAAATAATGGAACTTTAGAGAACATGAAATGTAACACTCACCCCTGTGCGAAGATTCACCAAACCTCTTCTCCGGGACAGTCTGTTCCAAAAAATCCTCAATGGTTTTCCAATATTGATCACCCCCTGCCAACCATGTATCCATATGCATGCCAGTTGGAAATTCCACAAATAAGCATCGATTGTTGCGCGCAGCTGCTTTAGCATACAGCAACTGCATGTGTGATGGAGGAACCATTTCATCTTGCAATCCTGAGATAAAGAGAATGGGCTGTTTGACCTGCAGCAAAGAGTTCAAACACAAGAGGTGCAAATAAATTGTCATTAGACAAGGACAAAATCACAGCATCGAATAAACACAAAACATGTCACTGCCTCACTTCCATTTTATTAGGCTAGACTTAATTAGGATGTTCAATATCAAATAACCAAGTCTTGCCCTTAAATAACGCAAGACCTTTCATATTGTTGATTCAACAAATACACTATAAAGATCCCTGTTACAACTTTTCAGAAACATGAAATGGAAACCCAAAATCACTCTGAGTGCAGAGTAAAAGCTACAATACATTGTTTTTGCTTTTGGGTTGGGGGGGGGGGGCGGTGGGGGTGGGAAGGGTTGGAGCTACAATACCCTGAAATCTCACCTCACCAACCACATCAATAGTCCTCCATGGAGAGCGGACAAGAAAATTGAGAGGTCTGGGGTGCTTTGAATCACTCCCTCCAATAAACCATTTTAGAACGGGTAGAAGAACTCCCGCCATATCAAGGATAGATGTGAAAGTATTTTCCAGAATTAGCCCAGCCACCTGAGCACAATCACATTAAGAAAAATGTGTCTCAACCATAAATGAGTATACTTTCAACAACATAACTAACTAAAAAGACCGATTAAAATGACAAGAAGGCAGCCAAACTCAGACAAATCTGTACTTTATGCATAACTCAAGCAAGGAAATTTATGGTCCAATATGGTCAAAAGAAAATGTGACAAGCACAGAATAGAAATGCTTACTAATAGCAATTTCAAATGCACAGATTTCCTGGGATACAGATTATGATTGACAGGACTGTTAACTAGCAAGGAAGGGAAAACTATGTATTACCAAGAAATAGATTAATCAAGTCATGACAGAGAAATAGTTACTTCATTGGATAATATATTTGTAACAGGAAGAAGCCTTCAAAAAAGATACATTCAAGTTTTAGAGAGAGGAAGACAGTGTATTTCGTAAATTTGCCTCAGAGCAACTGATTGATCTTCTCGCACAGTAATATGCAAAATAACTGCAAGGTCCTAAACAGCCCTTGCCCCATAAGGAAACGAGAGTCTACAATAAAATTTCTACAAGTCAGCTTCTCACAGAAGCTGTAGCACATACATTACTTTCTCCAAACAACTTGAACAGATTCTCTTGTTCAATTATAGATAAAGAAAGCTTCTAAAAACTTCAGCAGACTTTTCAGGAGGAGGACTCAAAAAACTCCTATTAATGTTTCTATGCGGTGACTCAAAGAAAATTAGGCTTGTCGGATGTCTCTATCAACCCCATAGGTGGTAATTCAAGACAATCAAGAACATGATACCGGAATTTCGTCCTGCAAGGACAGGACCTTCCATAAGGAACTAGTGTCCTAAGCTACTGATCAATTAAACAAAAGCTCACCCATTAGAAGGCTTCCAGTTAGATTTCACAAATTTCTTAAAGAAAATTTCCATGAGAGCAGATATTCTACAACTGCATAAACAGATGAGCTGAAAATATTTGATGACACAAGTTAAAAGGCATTTAAAATAAGAAAGCTATCACAAAAAAGACATACCAGGATCTGTTGCAATACACAACTGGGAAAACAAAATTTTTGTTTAATATGTACCTTGTCAGGATTGTTCTTGGCAAGTACTGCTCCAACAGCGCCACCAAGTGACCTTCCAAAGACAACAATCCTAGATGTGTCAATATCTGTCCTTTCAACCAGATGATCCAAAGCAGCCTACAAAGAAGCAGAAGCCACAAGAAAATATCTCATATCATCTATGGGGTGCATCAAAGAAACATATAGACAGAAAAACAAACCTGAGCATCCATTGTAATTCCATGCTGGGAAGGATATCCATCACTGGCTCCGTAACTACAATCCATACAGAACAGTTTACATCAATTTACAAGATATAATTATGTCCCCATGAACACTGCCAGATGGTACACACAAAAAAAAATGTAGATACCCTCGGTAAGACAGCATGAAAACGTTGCATTGCAGACGTTGTAGCATAATGCGAACCATCTCAAGACGGTGGGCAATATCTATAAATAGTAAAGTCCTCCAAAAGATTGATCATGAAATCACTTTTTGAGATAAACAAAAAGCGGTAAGAAATCAAAGACATCATAATATAAGCAACAGGACACAAAAGGATACTTCCTGCATTTTCTTGGAAGAAGAGGATAGTTGGACCTGCAATTGACACAAATACTTCATCAGCTTGAAAGCTAATTTGAACCTTCAAAAGAACACAAGTTTACCACTTATGAAGCATAAACAAGCAAATAAAACTGAATCATGGAAGACTACAAGGCAAGTGAAAACTTAAAAATCATCTTGCAGCAGTCATCAGTTAGTTTTTGCAACAGCTACATGAGAAAACAGAAGTATCACCAAAACTAAGCCGAAATAAAGTCATACATAATTTCCCTCCTGCATTTCTTCTACGTCTTAAAATAACCTATGAAGCTCATAATCTAAAACATACAAAAGGTTCCATGGTCAAAAGATGAGAAAGTTTCATTTACAATCCAACAAACTTTAAAGTAAAGCCGTCCAGTTTATAAGATGCACAACTATCCGAATAAATGAAATTTAATGCCACACAACCAATTGAGAAACCAACTCTTAAACAGTGCAATACCTAACTTAACTACTCGTGAATGCATGTAACCGTATAATGAAATCAGAAACCAACTCTTTCATTTCAGAAGACCTTACTTAACTACATCGCTCAAGCTCAAAAATAGTTCCAATTCACAGCAATATTACACGCCAATCACTTTCTTACACAAAATTAACAAGTGAGAACAAATTAACAGCTACGAATATCTGTATACAATTAGCCCTAAGTTCTCTGACTCCGGCAATCGCCAATCCTAAACAAGCACCCAGCCCTAATTCCCAAAGCAATTAAGCAACAATATTAAGAATTACAACAAGCATAAGACGTAAAGAGGAGCACCTCGGGATTCGGGGAGGAACTTGATGAACCAAGCGTGGAGGCGAACGCCGTCAGAAGATCTAAGCCAAACGTCGTCGTAGAGGAGGCGGAGGCGGGCGGGGGTGATGGGGTAGGATTTGGTAAGGCCAGGGAGGACGGGGACGTAGACAAGCTTCTCCTGGAAAGCCACCAGTAACGCCATCCCGGCGACCACTATTCCACCCACTCCGTACAGCAATACGCTCATGTACGACACCATCTTCTTCTCTCTCTCTATCTCCCCGTTCTCTCTCTCTCTCTCTCTCTCTCTATATATATATATAGATATATATACACGTATACTTAAATGGAGAGTCTGACGGTGCTTGTATCTAAATCTTTGTGCGTATGTACACGTATATGAGATGATGAAGTGAGGAACACTCTCTTTTTCACAGTTTTTCTTGTCTACTGACTACTGAGAGTGATGCTGCTTGTGCGAGTGCTGCTGAGGGGACGAAACCAAAGAGACCGGCGTTGCGGTTGACCGGTTGTGGTGGAGCTAAACGACAGCGTTTTTTGTTTCTTGTTACTAGCCTTTCTATTTCTTTCCTATACTATGTTGATTTTTTTTTTATTTTGCGTCTCTTCTCTTTTTTATTTGACATTAGTTTTATTTTTTTCAAATCTTTATTTATAAGCAAATAAAAAATTTTCTCCAATAAAAATTTTAGGATGTCTGTTGTCTAATTTACAAAATTAAAGAAGCTATATACATTTTTTTTATAAATCAATTTCATCTATTTTCCAAATTAAGATATCTTTTATTCTCTTTCCTTATAATTAGACAATTCAAAGTCAATTACCCATTTTTATAGTCACACACTAGGGGAAAAAGCCCGCACAACGCGCGAGAGTTTAGTGCTTGTAATTAGAGATGGTTAATAATTATTATTTGGTATTTTGTAGTATAAGAATTGAAGTATGACAATTTTATTATGTAATATTAAACAGAAAAATCATTAGTCAAAATATATAATATGCAATGAAACATAATTATAAGGTACGATCAATCACTTTGCATCTAACCTAGTAGAATAAAAAACCTACTTATATCCGCTCATGCACTTTAGGAATATTAAAATCTATTATTTAGCTTGAATTTAATCTTGATATGAGGGCAATCCACCACATTATCTTATCATACAAATGAGATTTGGACAATTACATACTTAAAGAAATCATTGCTGGTGGAATTTCGGTTCTTGCAAGCCAAATTCTTGATTTTATATTGATTTCAAGGATATATAATCATGAAACCTCCACATTGACCAATCAATCAATTATGATTTATTGTATGATTTAGGGCATATAGCAAAGAATCTCCTTCTCAGTAAGGGTTACAATCACGAAACATCAGTTTTTGAGCTAATTGCAAAGATATACAACACCTAACATGCTAGTTTAGAGGAATAATTACCTTAAAAAAGTACTAAAGCATCTCAATCCACTCAATTCAAGAAAACAATTAAAAGTAATGAAATACATACTTTAGATTTGCAGCCAAATAGTTTTAAGTAGATAGTTAAACATATTGGCAAATCAAATGAAGTAAAAATTTGCCTAGATGGAATCATCAATAAAATAGTAAACGATTTGAAAATTATCATAACTAATAGTTAAAACAACAAAAGAAGTAGCTACAATCTATAAATGGAAAATTTTATGATGATAAACTTATTTTAAACCACAAATAACAATTAACAAATGTGATATTCTCCCTATTAAGCTTGTCTAACATGGATAATTGAATTAAAACACTAAAAACTTATTTCACATACAACTTGCAAGATTATAGATTTCTTCAACCAAAAAGTAGATTGGCTAAAGAAAACATACCTATTGAGAAACAAATAGGTTGCATGATTGTGATGGAACAAAACTATAAGTAAATGAAATGAATTTGAATAGATGGGGGTTGCCATGGTAATCGTCAAGAAATCAAACTTCTCTACTAATTGACATTAATTATGTCTTAACATCTATATATAATAAGTTTGCAAATAACTGATGAGAAAGGCTTTAGAAAATTAAAAGACTTGGATATCAATACAATTAAAGGATTAGAAGGGCTTTTATGTAATTTCACTAAAACACAAGGTAAATTCAATTGTACCCAATGTTGGATCGGATATCGAACACTATCACATGTCAAACTTACCCCTAGCTTTGAATGTTTAAAAGGACATCTAAATAATTACAACAAAATCAAATTAACTACAATGTCTCATATTCAATGCTCTAATTGCACTTCAAACACTCTCACATTCCCAAAATAACCCCACCCTTGCAGTTAAAATCCAAAGATCATCTTTACCCTAAACTCATTCTTATATAGTATAAGGATAAGGATTCACATACCAATTATTGGAAATTTTTTTTTTGGTTGTTTTTACTCTAATGAATTTTTGCTTTTTAGGATCTTTTCTTTGGCATTTTTTTAAAAAATATTCAATTGTAAGTGTCTTCCCTAATACACACACACACACAAATTTCATGCGAAACTTTACCACTATCAATGAAAGTGGTCAAAATCAAATCACAAGTCTAAATTCAATGTTTAAAAGGAGTAGAAAGTTTGAAAATAAAAACTTTACATAATACTAGAAGGATATTTTTATATTTCAAGGCGTCAAGTAACAAAATATAAAGAATAGAGGTTGAAGTGAAAATCAAGAAATACTTTAGGGTGATAACTTGTGATTTACCCTTTAAATAAGTACACGGCACTTCCCGATATGGAACCAGCCAACCCGTAAAGTTTACCCCATAAAATAATCCAAGAATATTAGCACAAAAATTCAATTTTCAATACCTAAAGAACCAAACGGCAGGCATTTCCACTGCATCATCTCACTTTAATCTAGGGGTACAGATTCTTGATAGAATGCTAAAGCGACATGAAAAAAAAAAGAAGCAGAAGAAGATTAGATCCAGAGTTAAGCATTTAACAAACTGAACCATGGTTAAATAAATGGCAGAGGAAGCTCCTTATCATGAGCCATGACATAGGGTTTCGACTGGCAGGTGCATAGTATGTGTCAAACGGACTCAAACTGGTGAAGTATTCTTAGTAGTATTCTCTACACGGTACTCTTATGTCCATCATGTAAGATAAGCTAAAACTTGAATGTAACAAAGCCAAGGATGAATTGCCAAGTCCCGGTGCTTTTTGCTGCGCTTTTCACCGGGTAGTCGGAACATGGAGCGGAGTTCCATTCTGCATGAAGCCTCCCGACGACGTCGAACCAGCGATTTGACCAGAAAGGCTGATGTAGCTGTCGGCATGCTGCTGGAAAATGATATCATCAGGAGTGTATCCCATGGCAGAAGAGCTGGTACTAGTTGAAGCATAATGCCTGCTGTCGTTGGACCTTTCAGCTTCCATCTCCAGCGCATCGGTCTCTTGACAAGAATGGATGGATGCGGAAAAGGAGCCAGTGGAGAGAGTTGACTCGGATTGCTGCTGCTGTTTCTTTGTGCTGAGGAACCTTCCACCAGAACCTCTAACCCTATTCATTGCATGCTGATGACGGGACTCGTGAAGATATGGCTGTATTTAATTGATTTAGAAAGCATTACCTCACGTGCACAATGATGTTTACATGCGAAGTTAAACTATTAAGCTTTAGTAGTAGTGAGTTTATTGACAAAAGGGAGACCCAAAGAACAAGGACAAGTTCTCATCGTTCTTTGTAGAATAAAAAGTCCTTCAAATCACCCGATAAATTAAATAGGGCAAGATATGGAACAACGTTCCAAGTGGGCAGCTCAAAAACCTCCCACAAAAGTCACAAACTAGGGGGGGGGGGGGAGGATTCTATCATTTTCATCAGTTTCTTCTCTAATCTTTATGCTAACACAGCACGTATCTTTGATGAAGATGCAAATCGTTTTACATATTTTCTTCCGTCACCATGCTTAATATGCTTAGTACAGTTTATTGAATCACAGAATAAGCAAATAACTAAAGAAACATACTAATACTGACTAGGATGGAAGAAAAGCAGACATTGCACTCACTTTTCTACCTTTCACCATCTTGTTTTGAGCCTCAAGCTTGGCACGCACCTGTCTCCGTCTGAGTATACCATGATACTGTTTTGCATTCACATATATTGGACCATCTTGGGCAAGATCAGGAGGCAGTGGGACGCGAGCAGGTGCTATCCCCATCATTTGCGGCTGAATCTAATGAAATTCCACAAGCAATGGCATTATAAAGATCATGAAGGTCATATACTAAAATGAAGGACTTGCCTCTTCACTTAATACTTTAAAAATCCAGATACATGAAGCCTAAAATTCCATTTTGGAAAGTCAAAAATTAAGAAATAGACTCCTATTTTATAGATTCTCTGAACTGTAGTTCATGCTCAGAAATACACGAAGAAAAGCACACTGCATTCATCCTTATCTGTGTAGTTTTAACATTAAATCATCGAATTGCAGGTTATATTTGATTCTGCAAATCTATGAAAACATTGAATGGTGTACTTACCATGGCTTGAGGCCCATAAGCCGAATATAAGCTGCTGAAGTAGGGATCCGAGTAAATACATGGAATTTGTGCCTAAAATAAGAGACGAATTCATCAGGTGAAAAGTAAAAGTTGTTAATTGTTGGCCACTAAGATGACTCTGAAGTGACTGCAGCAACTTACAGCTGATTGGAGGAATTCAATTTGCGAAGGATTGGCTGAAGATTCCAAATTACTCGGAAAGAAAGCAGGTTTTGGTTGTTCTTCTACATGCTTCCCAAAGCTTTCATTTTGCACTGGATCAATTTGAATAGCTTTAATTAGCCAAGGAGGACCTTCTAGAACAAATTAGGACAAGATATCATCCACTATGATGTTTGCTTTTCTAGTATGACCATACATGATAACAGTTCACCCAAAATAACAGCAATTGCATGTTATAACCAAATAGAAAAACAGAAAATGTAGAAGATGTAGATGAAATTTAATGTCCTGGGTCAGTTAAATCATAAAGTTAGTGTTCTGTGTTGCAGGGACAGTTCCACCTCATACTGAGCTTGACATCTATACAGATCTATCAGAGTAGATGTGGCTCATCCGAAGTTATTAACAATTGCAGCATAATCAATCGAGGAGTATTATATATCATCAAAGGTCTAAGATTTATATTACTTCCAAAATTTCACAAAAGTTGTAGCACCAGTAGTAGATATAGCAGCAGAATTTACACTTGGTAACAAATAAGTAATTTTCTGTTTTCCATTTCCCTAGAGGATAAGTAGCAAACAGCAGAAGTTTCAAATGTAAAAAGGCAACTATTCAAGAGAATCAGGACGCTAATGCACCATTACCAGATTCTGATGAAATACATTGATCTTGAGAATTTGACTTTCCCATAGTAGTCGCTCCACGTTGAGACTGGCTGCTTGACTCCATTGAGTGAGAGCTTTGGTCTTCTTCTATCTGTTGGCCTAGATGCTTTGCCTCCTCAAAGCATAGAGATGGAGTTTCTACTCTCAAACTGAGATTTTTAGATGATGTCTGAGACAACTGTTGTTCCTGTAAATTCCACCATGGTGAACTGACAAGATGGGGCATTGAACAAGTAGAATCTTGTCCTAAAACTTTACTGTGAATGTTCTCAACTCGTATAGCCATTTACTCATTGAAGCATTCTAAACTCTGCACAACCCAAAATGCCCAAAATCAATTGAGACTGAGAGTTTCTACTTGACTTCATCTGCCCAAGGAAAACACGAGAGATGATGAAAAAGTTGTTCCAAACATCTCCAATTAATATGAAATGAGTAAGATCAATGTGCCCAGTATGTCTAATAAACAACTAACAGATTATTAAATCAATCATCAGCAGCGTGTGTGTGTTTGGAAGGTTAAAGAAGAAATAAACCAGGAAACGAAATAAAATGTAACAGATTATACAGATGCAACACTTTCAGGGGGTTGGTGAGCTTTCTGGATACAAAGTTAGTATCCAACTATCCGAAACACGGATCTAACTAATCACCTCCTCCTCGTATGCTGAACTTTACATGGTATAATAAATGAGAGGACATTCCAGGACCATCATCAGTCAAAAATACGATGACATTTTACAACATTTATTTGCTTCTGATCCTGGAGCCCATATCAAGACCAACACTCGTAACTGGGCAAAATCAACTTTCTTACATGCAAATCCTCTATCCCCTAAACTTATGTCAAACAGAGAAGTTTGGCTTCATTCTTTGGAACAAAAAATTATTGAAATTTATTGTCTACTGGAACGTAAATGAATATAGAAGTCAATAAAAGAAAAATTGTTCCCCAAGAATGCTTAAACGCATCAACTCAGCAAAAAAAAATTTTTTTATGAGAATAAACGGAAGAAACACTTTGGCATGCCTCAAAGAAAAACAAAGCAAAAAAGAAAGGGGGAAATGGAAGAGCCATATCCCAGAAAAAGGAAGGCGATATTCTCTTCTTAGCCATATCTGCCTCTCAATCACCACCAGTACCAGAGACCACCATTCTGTTAACAGACTATGCAATAGAGAATTATTGGTCAAGATTAGATCAACAACCAAATAGTTGTATGATGAAAAGTTAATAAGAAATTACCCCTTGCTGAATCCAAAGTTTATAAAAGACTGATCCGGCAAAACCCAGAAAAAATAAAAGAAAAAGTACACAAACTCCAGTGAAACAGATAATTCTATCCAGTAACAGAACCACAAGCAATGCCCTCCCCAGTTCCCTCAAACTACATGCATCCCAAAAGCATCTGTCAGTAAAGCCCGTCTCCCTTCCCCGCCACCCCTTTCCCGCAACCCACCAAAAAAAAAATAATAATAATGATAAAAATAAATAAAAAGAGAAAGAGGGAGGCATCCAAGACATGCAAGCGAAATAAACACAACATAATGACAATACAGCAAGCAATTAAATAATTAATAATAAGAAAATATGAGGCAATAATAAAAGTTGCAGAACCTAATTATGATAAGAAAGTAAAGAAAAATTTTCAGATGTGTTTATTATATGTATATAAACCCATGCATTATGCATATAGATGAGAGAAAAGGAAAGGAAGGAAAGACGGATGGATACCTTCGGGATCTGCTATAACTAGAAGAAGCAAGAAAAACAACAGTTGCTGGGATCAAATTGGGTATGTTCCCTTTCCTCACTTCAAAGTTCAAACTCTCTCTTCCTAGTTCCTATTTATCTCTCTCGCGTCTTGAAGAATCTTGTTGTATATTCTACCCCCCTCCCCCACACTCCCGGGGCCAAGAAATAAAAATATTTACAGTAATTCTCACGCTAGAAAGCAATAAAAAAAAAAGAAAAAAGAAGAAGAACCCAAAAAGCTACTAGTATTCATTTAACTAGCTAGTAGCACAATAAAGACACACACCAGCGACCAGCACCATTCATGATGATAGGATAGGATCGGATCATAGTAGTAGTGTTTTAGCAAGTGTTACTGCTACTTTACTCACCATGCAGGAGTAGTAGTAATAACTAATAAGTTGATATATATCCAAAGCCAAAGGCATCCCCAATTCCCCAACCCCTTTTCGGGGCATTTTGTATTTTAGCGCGTAACGTCTTCTTCATTACTTCCTCTTCTTCTTCATCTTCTCCCAAGGTGGGCCCCACCAAATTCTGTCCCCATTATGGACCTCAATAGATAGTTGCCATCATAACACCTCCCAGGCTCAGCTTGCCACCCCCGCCATCCATCCGTCCATCTCCCTTTATTTTATTGTTTTTTTTTTCTAGGCACTCAAAAAAAAAAAAAAAAGTCCATGTGAGTTGATCGTCACCGTGGCCAGGCATGTTCTGAATCATATGTTACTTAGAAAATAATTTATTACTACAAATTATGTATCAACGCATGCATTTCCTATATACATGGACAACCAATTTGGAACACAGAGCAAACTTGGCATCCGTCCTCAAGATTTCAACTACCAGTACAAAGGGCAAAGACTGAAGAGGTCACGATTTTAAGCAAGCATACTTTACAATTTTGCGTTGCAGAGTACCGCCAGTGATCTACTTACTGCTTCTGCTTCCTCCGGCTACGTGTAGCACTTTCCAGCTGCCCCTGCTTTTGTAAACTTCACGCGCTTCAGCGTCTGTTGATTTCCTCTGATGGCTTAAATTGTAGGGCTTTTGTTCGTGATTGTACACGCTGACGCGGATGAGAATGGGCCTTTTTAATCCTGACATCCACCCTATGTCAAAAAAAAAATTTATTTATTTGGGGGCAAATAGAAATGGTACAGTTACCCAGCTCCATGTTACAACTTGTGCCTCGACTTGTACGCAGAGATGTCGAAATGGATTATTTGAAAGGGTTAAAATCTGCAGTGGGCGTAAGTGGATCAACTCTTTTATATCTATTTAATTAGATGGATATAAATGAATAAGTCAAAAAATAAATTGGATAATTTAATTATCCATTTATTTTAATTTTTTATAAATTCATTTAAATTTATTTTTACAAATTAAGTTATCAATTTATATCACTTTTTGCACCGCATCATTAATTTTAAATGTTTACTTATACTATTTAATAAGTGTACTTACCAATTTTTTTCATCCATACTCTATATCGCAAAATTACATACTATTTAATAAGTGAACAATAATAATGGTTATCCAATATCCATATGCAAAAATTTAAAATATTCATATCCATCTATTTATGGACGGGTATGAATAAATTTAATTAAATAGATTTGTTTGCCACCTATACTTGTACGTTATCATTGAATATTATTTCATTTAGTATGCGCGATATCACATTGGTTAAGAGTTAAGACATTGAAGATTAATTCTGTGTCAAATGAGGTAATTAAGGCATATGGTATTATATATGTATATAGATGCAAATTTTATTACTAGAATTGTCCAGAAGGAGTTGATTTATATCATTGTACTAATGTCAGATTAAACATGCACTTGGCTTGATAAGCACATGGTAAGATACGAGTGAAATAAATGGAGGCAAAAAAATTTTAAAGGTTAATAGATGCGAGAAAAGTTGCCTCTACCTATTATGTGGCCGCCAGTTAATTTTGTTCATAATCATATGTTGCTTTCACGTAATCTTTGCAAAAGAATATTAAGGGGCTGCTTGGTTAAAGGGTTTGGAAATCACAAAAAGGAATGAACCCTTTATTTGTTGCTTGGGTTAAGTCTATTGGACTGCAAATTTTGGAATCATTTTTAAAAATTCGGACTTCCTTCATTCTCAAGCAAATTGGGAGGTTTTGGACAAAACCCTCAACTGATTCACTCAAACAATATTTATGACGGGTCTACCATCTCTTTCTCTCTATCACACGCACCACCCTCTGTTTTTCTTCTTCATTAGATTTCCTCTGTCTTCTTCTTCATCTCTTATCCAAAATTTCTTCTCCGTTGCCTCTGCAATTTTCTTCTCCGTTGCCTCTGCAATTTTCTTCTCCGTATGCAAGCTTTTCTCTTCCTTCTTTTCTGTTTTTTCAGGCTACTCACTGGTTAGCTAAAAATAAAAAAGAAAAGAAGGGAATCTGACACGATAACACTAACTGGACAAAAATGCTATGCTCTGGACCCATCACCTTCTCACTTTTATTCCACTCACTCTACTCACTGTGTTTTCTTGAATTACGTATTCAATGGAAGCTCAAAAACAAAGGGTCAATCGATTCTTGATATTTTGGTTATTTGATCCGTGAATACTAGTATAGTTTGGGTAGGTTTCTGGTTGCCTTGTACCTATTTGTAAAATTGTTTGTCTGAATACCTTTCAGTTTCATAGTTATGGGCATTAAATACAAAACTTGTGAGTTTCCCATAAAGAGCTGATATCTTATGAATTATTTCTTTTTTTTTTTTAACTTTCACATATTTAATTTATGTTAAATACAAAACACACTAGTATTCCTTTGGTCACTATTTAATAAGTTTTTCCTATAAAGAGTTGGTGTGTTTCCCATAAAGAGTTGGCACAAAACATACTATAAAACCTGTCAGTCTCCCATAAAGAGCTGGTATCTTATGCCCTATTTTTTTTTTTTTTTTACTTTCACATATTTAATTTATAAATATAAAATATACTAGTTTTCCTTTGGCTGATATTTAACCAATTTTTCCTATAAAGAGTTGGTATGTTTCCCATAAAGAATTGGTACAAAACATATTACAAAACCTGTCAGTTTCCCATAAAGAGTTGGTATGTTATGTGCTATTTAACCAATTTTTCATATTTAAACAAATTTATGAAAATTAAAATAACTTATTTGAAAGTTGCGTTTTGATTTGGAAGAACGCATTCCTTGGATGCATTTTTCACCCTTTGGGAAGAGACTCAAAAATCGCTACCCTTTGGGAAGTTAGTTTAAAAACTCTCTCTTTTTGGGAATTTACTCCTTGTTAATGTAGCCACTACATTTTTTTTTGGTATTAATTTTTTTAAAATTTATGATTTTCTTATGTTTTATCAAAAAGTTAATAACTATTGTAGTTACAATTATGGAGATGTTAATTTGTCGTATGTGTAATTCTTTTATTTTATAAGAATTGTTATATTATGGGTAAATTTGAAATTTAATTACATTTAATTCCGAAACACTCATCAAACCAAGTATCAGGAATTGGAATGATGTTAATTCCAATGTGTGAACCAAGCTAGATATTGGAATGAAAAGTTTAATTCCAAAACCAGAGTCCATGATTCCATTTCCAATTCCGATTCCAATTTGTGAAACAAACAGCCCCTAACAAGTTGACAGTATAGACACTTAAAAAACTGCAGTAGTATTTCTCTTTAACTTCATGTAAAAGTTAAAAAAGAACCAAGTATGTTGGTGCAACAAAAAAGAACAAGTTGATGCAAAAGTCAGTCATGGTGTAACAAATATTGCACATCAGGGCTGAGGTAATTTCTTGCTATGTTAGGAATGGGAATCAACTTGTATGTGCCATTTTAACTATATAGTTCCCAGAGAAAGGGTGATTTTTAGCTCAAGACCACAACATTCCGTTAACTTTCTGCTCAAAAAGTAACTTTTCAGGGGGGTGAAGAGAAAATTAATGTACATTTAATCTGAACAATTGCCTTTAAATTAACCCCCCCACAACAATGCCACAATATGTTATGAATATGAGACAGTAGTATCATCATTCGTTATCAATGAAAACATGTGAAGTTGATAGGTATTGATGACTTCCAAGACTCTCAAATGGAAATCCGGGCTAGAGAGAGGACTTTAAAGAAGTTTGGACAAGTGCACAATTTAGTCAATAAAGCACTTAATAGAAAATTCTCCTACATTAATCTGCCTGCTTAGAGTAGGGGTGCCACGAGTCATCTTCCCATGGTTTAATTAGCCTCTAATAGCTTCATTTAATTAAAGCTTTGAAAGGCACTTTCTCCGACTGATATTTTGGGTTGACATTCTTTTTTTTTTTCTTTTAATAAAAAAAAATGGGTTGACATTCTTTTCTTCAAACAATAATGAATTTGTAGACGTCAGATTGATTTCTCGATTATAAACTCTCTCTTTTTTCCCCACGACCATAGGAGCTCAACACTACGACCATATACTTGAATACTACTAGGGTCATAGTCTTTTCTTGAAGTAATTGTAGAAAGAGTGATCAATTGAAAAAACAAACATGCAAAAATTACACAAACCACCGATTAATTTGTTCAAGGAGAATTAAAAAAAAAAAAGAGAGGCAAGAATTGACACAAAATGATAAAAGCATATTATTATTGATTCCTCAGACACCACCATATTGGATTTCACTGGCCTCGCTGTTCATCAGCAAAGAACTTGGAAGGACTCGAGGATGTTGGTGTCAGAATTGGGATTCATTTATTTAAGGATATCATCAGCAGCAATTAATGATATTAAATCCGGAATTAGGACAGGTACGATTGAATTAGATATAGTGTGATGTGGTGGTTGGATTTTCATCCCTAACTTGATCGACGCTTATTGTCGCATTTATGTATTGAGTTTATACATATACATATATCTATATATATAAGAATAAAATCTATATGCACAACAAAATTTTACAAGAGTAGATCATATTATGTAAAAAGTACAACAACAATATGGGTACAAATTTTTCACTTTTCCTCCCATGTGATTCAATGTGCTAAGTGGCGACAAAAAAAAAAAAAAAAAAAAAAAAAAAAAAAAAAAAAGTTACCTTAGAGCAGCACCTCCGACCAGCCAAAAAAAAAAAAAAGGACTCACAGTTTGGAGATGAAAAGGGCAGGAGGAGGACTTGGAAGGTTAAAAAAAAAAAAAAAAGAATCTAAGATGGGAAAAAAAACAAAATGCAGAAAGGGGCCACTGTGTTATAATAGGGCACCACAAGGACGAAAGGGAATCTAAGCGGACAACATTTGATATCCGGTTTGATAGAGCAGTTCAGTAACTCGAAGGTGGGTGGGATTTTTTTTTTTCTTTTGGCGAATCCTAAAAATACGGTACAACGTTATCCCAAACATGTTTCCTTTCGTCTGTTTGTCTTTATAAAAAGAAGAAGTCTAGCCAGGAGACGAGGCATCAATCGGCATCGTCGGACTTTTGCATTCCTAAATGAAAAGGACACTTTTATGGTTGGGCTTGGGACCTGGAGTGTGGGTGGCATGTACAATTGCCATTGGTGATCCAAAAGATGATATTGTCGTTCTCATACAGGAAACTAATATAATTGTTGGGTTTTCAATAGGGTTTCCTGTGGGGGAAAAGAATACCGTGGAAAGATTTAAAAGGCGTGCCTTTCACTTCAATACTTTCAGGTTTGCAACAAGATGAGCCTCAGCCTCAGGCCAAATATTTTGCATATCCAAGCTTGAGTTTGATTGGATATAACTTGAATGGCCGCTCCAGATTGACTTGTCAAAATTAGAAGGCGTTTGAATGAGATAATAGAGCAAGTTTGAGTTCGAACTTGGTCTTGAATAACGTTATTTTTTTTCTTATTAATAAAACATGTTTTCGACATATAAGTTGGAGCTATTTCACACCAATTACTAAAAAAAAAAAGAGGTGCCGGTGCCGCTGTGCAAACAAAAATTCTAAGCAAACTTATGAAAGGTGCCAGAAAATGGTGTAATGTTTAGCAATTTCCCTCTGCAAAGCTTTTGAAGAGAATAATGGAATAGTAGATTGCTTTCGAACAAATGGAAAAAGTATATCATTCGACGTGGAAGGGGGGAAAAAGAATGAATAAAGGGCTCCATAAAGATTTGTTTTACATTTTTGGTTTCGGGTCCCAAAACTTTGTTTGATCGACAGACAGGCAAGGAGAATTGACTGAATCGAATTGTTGGAGGACGGCCAACATAGCAGATGTGAATAATGACAGCTGAGGGGGAAGGGGTTAGATGATTGACCCGTCGTCACGCGTCAATCATTTGCTTTCAAGACTCTGATGTTCCATCCGCTACGTCTTCTTGTAAATGTAGTAATTAGACGTTGCGGTCACAGGGCACAGGAAGACGATCATCCGGCTGCATTTTATTTGGGTTGTGTGCGGCACAGGCCATCGCCTTGACTTCCCGGCCTTGCCTAGTTACTGTTTCTTGACTGACACCTGACAGAAAATACGTGCTTACGTAGCTAAGACCTGACCTCCATCTGGGTTGGGTTAAGGGATCTTAAAGGTAATTGAGGGCGTCCACCTCGACCCCCCTGATTTTCATGATCGGATGAGGTGATCTCCGCGAGTTTCTTGCTACCTCGATTCGTTGCCTCTTTCTCATGAACGAGTCCCACTCTCTCTCTCTCTCTCTCTCTAGGGGTGATCCCATACCTCCTATTTGACATGTGACGTATCATCGAGAAAGCTGACTTGTGCACGATGATGAAATGACGTGACAGTGAAATGGTTAGTGTTATGTCCCTTCCATCAAGTCTCAACCTGACAGTGTCAGCCTAAGATCCATGGAAGATGGGACCTGTCACTCTTCCCCACCGTATTATTATTTCCTGTAAATACTCTTCCACCCATCCGTAGGAAAGGTACCTACTCTCACTCTCACTCTCACTCTCACTTATATAAGATACTTAAAAGATCCTTGTTTTTAATTTGCAATTGAGTATCCGAATTGACTTGATCATCGAAGAAGTGGGACCGGAGGACAAAGCCTTGTGCTCTTTGTGCAGATTTATTAATAGGTGGATCCCTTCTCTGTTGGGTTCAGTAATCCAGAGGATTCACCTCTTCAGGAGTCAGCTCTCTCTAGGGGTGATCCCATACCTCCTATTTGACATGTGACGTATCATCGAGAAAGCTGACTTGTGCACGATGATGAAATGACGTGACAGTGAAATGGTTAGTGTTATGTCCCTTCCATCAAGTCTCAACCTGACAGTGTCAGCCTAAGATCCATGGAAGATGGGACCTGTCACTCTTCCCCACCGTATTATTATTTCCTGTAAATACTCTTCCACCCATCCGTAGGAAAGGTACCTACTCTCACTCTCACTCTCACTCTCACTTATATAAGATACTTAAAAGATCCTTGTTTTTAATTTGCAATTGAGTATCCGAATTGACTTGATCATCGAAGAAGTGGGACCGGAGGACAAAGCCTTGTGCTCTTTGTGCAGATTTATTAATAGGTGGATCCCTTCTCTGTTGGGTTCAGTAATCCAGAGGATTCACCTCTTCAGGAGTCAGCTCTCTCTAGGGGTGATCCCATACCTCCTATTTGACATGTGACGTATCATCGAGAAAGCTGACTTGTGCACGATGATGAAATGACGTGACAGTGAAATGGTTAGTGTTATGTCCCTTCCATCAAGTCTCAACCTGACAGTGTCAGCCTAAGATCCATGGAAGATGGGACCTGTCACTCTTCCCCACCGTATTATTATTTCCTGTAAATACTCTTCCACCCATCCGTAGGAAAGGTACCTACTCTCACTCTCACTCTCACTCTCACTTATATAAGATACTTAAAAGATCCTTGTTTTTAATTTGCAATTGAGTATCCGAATTGACTTGATCATCGAAGAAGTGGGACCGGAGGACAAAGCCTTGTGCTCTTTGTGCAGATTTATTAATAGGTGGATCCCTTCTCTGTTGGGTTCAGTAATCCAGAGGATTCACCTCTTCAGGAGTCAGCTCTCTCTAGGGGTGATCCCATACCTCCTATTTGACATGTGACGTATCATCGAGAAAGCTGACTTGTGCACGATGATGAAATGACGTGACAGTGAAATGGTTAGTGTTATGTCCCTTCCATCAAGTCTCAACCTGACAGTGTCAGCCTAAGATCCATGGAAGATGGGACCTGTCACTCTTCCCCACCGTATTATTATTTCCTGTAAATACTCTTCCACCCATCCGTAGGAAAGGTACCTACTCTCACTCTCACTCTCACTCTCACTTATATAAGATACTTAAAAGATCCTTGTTTTTAATTTGCAATTGAGTATCCGAATTGACTTGATCATCGAAGAAGTGGGACCGGAGGACAAAGCCTTGTGCTCTTTGTGCAGATTTATTAATAGGTGGATCCCTTCTCTGTTGGGTTCAGTAATCCAGAGGATTCACCTCTTCAGTAATCAAAGGTTGACCTCAAAAAAATGTTTTTGCTGTCATTGCTAAGACTAGAGTATCCTCAAAGGTAATCCGACCGATGTGAAAGATCTCACACGTGCTTTCCCTATATTTATATTTTGCCCAATTGCAGTCTGTTAGGTCCGAACGTAATCTTACGAGATTTTGTTACGCAGCACACCCACACACACGGGTGACACGAGCTCAGCCACAACATCTTGACAACGTAAATGACATTTATTATTATTAATTTTTAGTGCTTCTCTTCTCCGAAAAGAGATTATTGCTTGCACCGCACTGCCATCACCTTTCTACACTTATTACTTTCAACCAAAACATTTGGAGCATGGGGAATCAAATCAGCGTTCCGCAAAGACCAGATAGATAATCAGGACTTCGACAGGATCAGGAAAATAGTGCACCATGCAATTCTAACATCCTAACAACAAATGCTACGAAAAGTTATGACAAAATCAAAATGATGGTTACGACTGCCAAAATTTGTAACAGAAGACGCTCTAACTTTTGCAGAGATTAGTGTTAATTACGCAAGAACAATAACCAACCCCCAAAGAAAAGGTCAAAATTTCTGGGGCCATGGATATAGGCCGCTGTTATGCAAACCAGAATCCATGTTTCCCATTCATTATGCTAGCGTACAAATATACGCTACAGATTAGCTTAGCCTGCACAACTTCATTTTGAGAGGAACAGCATCCAGCTTCCGATGACAGATGGATTATATTTCCTCTTCAACCTAATTGTAATGCTCCTGTGCAGGCACAACTGCCCCTTTAGTGACTCAGCCTCCGCACTGGAACCTGCATCAACAACAACCAATAATTAGTGCGTGTCTCATCCATCACAATTCACAAAGACAAGAAGAAAGGCAGATAACTATAGCTGACAATGAAGGAAGAAAATCAAATGGAAACAACAAAATGAGCAGCGGAACAGAAAGTACATTTTACAAGAAAATGCATCCCTACCAACCACTATTAGAGTTCAATGGTTGAGATGAGATGATATAACAAAACAACAGTGCAGCAATTACTTTCAAGCTTTAAACATTTCAGATTCCCTAAAACATATGACCCAATTTGCCATAAAACCAGACGACCTAGCTGGTCATATCAAAAGACTAATACATTAAATTTTTGTTCTTCGTTTTTCTTCCTGCAACCTCACATACCAATGACAGTGAAACCACATCAAGTACTTTAGCTTGAGTTTCTCAAGACTCGAGTATTCAACATATTTCACTCTCGAGGAAGTTGTTCTATCCATTCCAGGGTAGAAGAGCCGCTGCTGTTGGCGGCATAGAAACCAATACTACCCAACTTAAGCGATGCACAGTCGAAATACACACAATTCAAATTGTTCAAAGAAAGTAGAGTAACGTGCATAAAAAACTTACACTCTAAAATCTAGAGTTTTAAATTAATCCTCTCAGACCATTTGAAAATATCAGAGTACACTCTATCTCCGCCAAGGTCTTGACCAGTAGCACCAGCTGCTACCCTGAGAATATCTTCAATCAGTGCAAAATTTCCCATTATATCAACATGAGCACCACTTTGTGTACCCCTTCCCTCTAGAAGATTAGCTGGAGGCGCGTGATTATACTCCCTTATGTAGGTACGGATGCCAGAAGGATTAAACCGAGTCTTTCCGCGCCAACCTTTTGCAGACATGAAACCTGCGCTAAGTGTAGGAACTGTTTCATCTCCATCAACAGAAAATACTCCCCCTTTTAAACAAGTACCTTCATATCCAGCTTCAGCTGAGGTATCGATCCGGAAAGGGGTAAAGCACTCAGGGGTAGGACTAAACTCGTAAACATATGCTCTTTCCGTGGGGATGCCAACTCCATACATTGACAAAATTTCCATGTCTGGGGCATTTGGTAATCTGCAAAAGCAACATATAAAGAACTTTGTGCTGTCAAAAAGGCTTCCTCTTGATCATGCAATTTGTGCAGAGATGATAAAGGAACATTTCCATTCTCATTTATAATGCCAACTCCCAACAGATGAACAATTGGATGCTTGGAAAAAATAACACAAAGTAATTTTAGAAACTCATTGTAAATATATGCATAAAAAGGTGTATTTATGTGGTGAGAAAGAAGCACTTCTCACTCAAAATTTAATCAGAAGAAGGGAAGATTATTGATAAACTTAGGTTTAAACTCCAAGAAAGAACCTCACTTTGTTTCCAAAGGATTTGACCAATATTTGTAGTGTTCATATTTTTCATCATCCAGATCATCAGCGATTCCATATGAAAAATGTGCACCACCTCGTTTCATCATCTTTGGTGCCACAAAGTGAAGTAAATCCAAAACTGATCCTGCTGTGTAAACCTTAAAATCTGCAACAGCTTTGACACCCTCAACACCCATATCATGGTATTCATTCCATACATCGTGACACGTTGTATTTGCAAGGTGATTGCCCTTCATAGCACCCTAAAGGTCAATAAGAAAGAAGGTAAGCTGAAAAAAAAAAGCATGCATTTTGTAGACAGAAATGACATGACAGAAAATCAGAAAAAGATTCTGTTAATTAATTGAATGAGCCAGAATTCAATCTTCTGCAACATCATGCATCAGCCACAAATTGTAGCACAGTGGCATGTCCCTCTCTTCCACTTTGCATTTGCATCAACAACATTTAGATTCTAATAAGAAATAATGATACTGATTATTGCTGCAACTCGATTCATATTCAATATTCTAGGTATTATGCATCGCATACAAGAAAATATAACTGCCACCTTAAAGTCCTGTATCTGAATCCTAATTACTCATCATTCGCACAATAAATTGTACTCAGAAGTTTCAGAAGGCTGCATAATAGGAGCATTCATCACATGAATTTCCAAGCATGCATTTGGTAGAAATCAAAGAGACAGTTGAATAAAATTTTTAAAAGAAAGGAGGGGAACAAGGGAACGAGCTGGTTGATTTTGATCCAAGTTTTTACACTGTTCACGATGGCCACCTGATAACTACAAGATACCTAACACTTAAATCTAAATATGACAGAGCAGTCAATTAGATTGGCACACACCACAATGAAGTTGTCAAAAACCTTGGAAAGGTTGCACAATTGACTAATAGGTGATGTTGTTTCCATCACTACTTGTCAAGAAAAAATCAATCTTTCCAAAGAAAACTTGCAAAAAAAGAACATAACCCATATGCTAACCAATTTCCAGGGAACAAAAACGAGCATAGATATAAAATGGTTCTATTACATATGGATCAACCACATAATGAAGACAAAATTGTTTTTTAGGGGACATAATAATTCGATAAATAAAAGTTGGCACCACTACCAATCTACTTAAAAGAATGAGCCACTTGTACAGGATTTTGGAAAGATTACTGGTGGGAGGTTCAGACGGGTATGTTTCCAATTTCATTAAATGGCCTATATATCATAAAGAAAAACAAGGTCAAATATTACCCTAAAATCAACTCTTTCAAGCTTTGATGAATGTAACTCAGCTACACCCTTCCCAAATGAAATCATTATTCCGTAATGAACCTGAGTTGCATTACCCAGATTCCCAAACCCATTTTGGCCTCCTGCTTCACTATTGTTGTTCTTCTGTTTCTTTGGGCTACACTCATACCCTTCTTCTGGAGACCAGTCAAGGCCACCCCAAATAGTGTCCCCACCCTTTGGAATCATTGACATGGTTGAATCCCAGGTACGAGTCATTCGCATGACATGTTGCAAAGTTTGAAGACCAAATACATCCATATCCAGAAAACCTGGTGCCATACCCCTATATGAAGATAAAATCTGCTTAGTAAAAGATACAAGGTACAGCTATAGAGAATAATTTTGATTGCCAGAATAAATTCCTAGTAGCTTTGGATTATCAACTAACATGGCAGAGTTCTACATTACATGATAAGAAAGAAAGTTAACAAGCTTATGTTGACAAAAAACAAAATTTACGCTTTCAACTCTATTTTACTTAGTGCATAGTTTTCAAGGTATTGCACCAAAGGACAGTGAAAACAAGAACTTGACACAGAAGCACTATATGAAGGTAAATATTGCGGAAGGGAGGGAGGGAGGGAGGGGGAAAGAGAGAGGGAGAGGGAGAGGGAGAGGGAGAGAGAGAGATCAAGGTATGAGGGACCTAGAACCAACTTATCATAAGTTATGAGAAAAACCTGGCCACGGCTATATCTCTGGCTTCTGCAGAAAGTAACCCAGCAACTGATTTTGGGACACCCAGAAATGGTCCACCAATATTCATTACAGCCTTGATATGCTCAGCACACCAGTCTGAGCCACCTCCGCCACCCATGGGAGCTGGAGCCTCAACCCATTTCATAAAATGCAGGAAGTACAAAACACCCATTGAATGAGGAATTACCACCACCTTTTTTCCACCACTTGTAGCTACCATCAGTTCTATGTTACTCTTTATAGTGCTCAAAGTTTGGTCTCTAACCTGATCATTTGTAAAGCATTCATCTAAATTGTTAAGAGTAAGATCAGAAAAAAGGCAAGGTTAGGCAAACTTCTAAGGCAGAAGAGACCATTTCTACATCCATCAACATCCTCAGAAAATCATCAAAGATGCAATAGGAGAAAATTTTCTCGAGTGTTTCTCATGCATGGATGGAGTTCAAAAGTATTTCATCCAATAAGACACTTCCTATCGTCTCTGAGAAATTATTAAGGTTAAGAGCTGTCAAATTCCAATTTTCAGCCTAATGTATTCAGTGCACAAAACTCATAACAAATGAAAGCAGTCAAGCATGTCATGTGAGAGAGGGGAAAAGATCTATGAAGTGAGTTCTTATGAAAATTCAATACCTCAGTATTCTGGAACGATATCCTCCAATCATAAGCAGCCATGTACATGTTTTTCTCTTCATATCCGATGCGCGCCAAATTAGCTATCAAAACAGCCCATACAAAATAACCTGGTGCAAAGTAATCAGCTGCCACAAGTCCAGATACAGGTCTGATCCTTATACCAGGAGGATCCAAACCAGTTTCATTATCCAGTGACATGTGCTCAGCCCAACACAAAGGTCTGCACGAAGAGCAGATAAACTCAAGGAACCAAGACAAAGAACTTAGATTACAAAGAAAAATAACTAAAGAGACATTGAGAGAACAAAAGGAACACCATTCGACCAGAAAGGAAGATATTCACAACGGCATCTACAGTAACCTATTAAATTGGATTTCCCACATGATGGGAGAGCATGAAAGGTAGTGCTCCAGCATTTTACTATGAAACTATGCGTTAAAAATCTACCGTGCAGGGAAAAGATATTGTCTCTTGACTAAACCATAAAACTTTTTCCACAAACTTTAATTGATCATTTTGGATGTACAATCACAGAAATATGCAATAAATGAGCAGAATTGTGTGGTTAAATGTACTTACTACAAAATCCTGCTTGCATGTATCCACTTCCAGCTTTAAAATGCAACACAATCTAAGAGAAACCACTGTATCTAGCCAGTGATGCTCTCAAGAATGTCTTATAATTTTGTTAGTCCTTTTTCTATGCGGTATTCTTTTGCAAGACACTGCCTTTTGCTTTTGATCGAAGTAATAAGCACACTATAATCTACCTAAAGGGGCAAAAGTTAGCAAGACAAAGCTACAGTCTGAGCATAAATAACCAATTGAACCTAAATTACACTACTACTACAACTTCTTCCGAGCTTAATCTCTTGCAATAAACAATATTAACATACTGGTAAATCACCAAAAACTGGTATCCCCTAGCATTGCGTTATAAGATGCTGTGATCCAATTACATCAATCATATGCTGGTATACAACTTCTTTTCTAAATCTTGTTCACCTGAGATCTTTTTTTTTTTTTTTTTTTTTTTTCTTATCCTATATTTCAGATCCTTAAATTTTCATTTAACATCCAACACTTCTTAAGAGCCACAGGAGCAACATTTCAGCAATCTTTGCCACTAAATGGTGTAAGGATATAAATTTATGCAATTTAAGACTTCTGTACCTTAAAAGCAATAGTCACCTTGCCCCAGTAACCACTAACTGGTGTCGTCATCCTCTGTCTTAATGATCAGATATGTCCCTGAATCAGCTAAACAAATGATCCACAGGTAAAGATGACATCTCATATTAATCTTTCGTATTTGAGTCCATTTTTCCCCCATCAGTATTTACCATATCAAAACTTCCTATTACGTCAAGCTTTGGTACAAACTAATTAACAAATCAAAACTACATAGAATTTAGACTACCCACATGAAGCAAAACTTGAGTTTTCATTGAAAATTTCTCTTTCCTTTCTGAGAAATCTACAATATGAAGTTGTTACAACATAGCCGACCATCACTTGAAATCGTCCAATTTTGCACAAGATCTCCAAGTTTATGAGTTATACCTAATTACAAATTCAGTGAAAAGTAACTAGATTGCCCTGTCGCCTATAATTAAATAAAATTTATCCTTCAGCAACCGTAAATAACACACGCACACACTACCTAAGGGGAATCCACGGCCCAATCCAAAAGGCATGCTGACTTTCAGGCCACACCGAGGACCTTAAGTAGAACACACACACACCACTCACAATCGATGTGGGCTTAAGGAAAGGGGGAGGGGAAACATCTAGACTATTGCCCAAAGGCTCACCTAATAAAATAAAATTTATAAAAAAAAAAAAAAAACTAGATTCCCCTGTCTAGAGAACACCTAGTCCCCATGATTAGTTCAATGAAAGTACGCGGCCTTCACAAAGAAACGGACAAAGTAATTCAATGAAAACAAGTGACAAAGGAGAAGAAATGAGAGAGAGAGAGAGAAGAAGAAGAAGAAGAAGAAGAGATCTACAAGCAAGTTCTTTTGCAGTTTGGAGTATAAAACTTGAGCTTTCAAGTTCCCAGTAACCTCAGCATACCATTTCTCATAAGGAGGGGAAAAAAAAAAGAATAATCCCTCAGCATGTCAACTGATAACACATGTTGCACTCCATCAATTCTATGATTCATTCAGTACCGTCCACTTTTTCTTCACACCAAAATTAATTAAAGCAGCTCTTAACAATTTCAACAATTACAGTTGCCCAATTAAACATGAAAATCAGGTTCCTGGATTAATCTAACAACCCCCAGTTCAACATCAAAATAATACAAAACAGAAAACACCCAATATACACTGGGAAGCAACGCTACCTTTTATAGATTTCGCCAAATGTACCACCCCAGAGCCTCTTTCTAAACAGCCCTTCAGCACAATGATGCCCTTCCCACAACTCTAGCCCTCCAGTCACTATCCCGGGCACAAAAACCACCGGATGCTTTGCCTTCAACCCTTCCTTCGCCAGTTTCACTCCCGGCGGGTCTGGCAACGGCCCTGTGATTGCCTCCGTCACGTACTGCGGGAAAGACGCCGGCATTGCATTGTAAGAGAACAACAAAAACCACCATATCGAGCATATATAACCTACAAACCAACAACAACTATCCAAACAATTCCACGATCTCCCCCTCGACTTCGTACTCGATTTCCAATTCAAATTCTTGGAATTCTCATTCTCGTTCTCATTTACATTTAACTTTCCATTTTCAGCTTCAAAGTTTTTCTTTTGATCCTTATTTTCGTCGGATTCTGATTGCAGCGGTGATGAAGTCAGAGGTTTTTTGGGTTCCGCACCCGCCTTTCTACGCCTAATCATCGATGCATGTGCCTATATACGTATACAATTGCTGCAACTAAACCTAGTCTATACATACATGTTTTTGTATGTATACACCAAAAGAATGATTAGTTCATTAAATGCCTGACCATCACGTTAGATAAATCTAAAACCCCAACTCCAATGATTGGGTCCATGCTCCACATTGGAGTCAACCCAAAACCGCACTTTTAATCAGTAGTAGGGAAGAAGAAGAAGATCTTTCCGGTGAAAGATCGGAAAATGAAGATTTTTCGGGATCGAATAAGGAAGAAGAAGAAGAAGAAGAAGGGAGAAAGAAATTCGAGGGAAATGGAGGGATGCGTGTGGTGTCCAGTGGATGACGTGGAGAAATGGGGGTACCGTTGAATGGGTGGAAAATGACGGGGGTGGTTGGAGATCGTCAGACCGGACGGTGGGGAACTGAAGTGTGACGGCGCGATGAATGGCAGAGGGGGGGGGAGGGCCTTAACTTTTGGTGGAAATGGGGTTTTTCTGGGAGTTTGGGAAGCGTTGAGGAGTGATGTGTAATTAGCGTAGAATCATTGCATGTCGAGCCAAAAAGGAATGTGACGTAGATCCTCTGCAAGTCTGGTCCTCTGAATCGCCGTCTGAACTTAGAATAGAAAGTTCAAACAAACAACAGCCAAAAAGGCCAAAAATACAATTGAGATTTGTTTTGGTGGGCGCTAAAATGAGGAGAAATTTCTTTTGCTTTTGGTTTTCTTTCTTTCTTTTTCCAGAACAACCTTCAGACTTTTTCTGGGTTTTGTATTCGGAACCATCTAGAGGTGCAAGGAAGGTACACTGTGATCAGCTCATGGTGGTCATTTAAAATGGAGGAGCATCATCTGTACCAACCAAACCGTACAACAAACAATTATTTATCTAAAACGCATGATCCAACCAACTTCCTCGTAGAAGTTGGCCAGATTATATGAATTGTGGGATGGAAGATCAAGGATTTAAATCTTAATTCTCATTAACGTATCGTCGCATATGTGACTTCTTTTAAATTCATAGAGATACGTGATGTACTCGTCTAATTCGATGATGATTCATGGTGCGTTTGAATTATCATTTTTCAAAGAAAAATTATTATATTTTTCGTGAATACATTTTCAATCACTTTTTTATTTCATATATATCAAATCGTTACTGTAATTGTTTTTATAAAAAATTCAAAAAAATACAATATGAACGAGGCCCAGTCTCCATTCCCGTCGATTCTCTCGACTCGGTAAAGATTGAAGTAACAAATCTTTTCATCCTTCTAACTGAGTGTTCGTAACACAAACTTTAGATGTTCATATTTTGAAAAACATAACATTAATTAAGAAAAAGAGCGAATTGCGCAAAATGTCACTAAACTATTTCAAAGTGCCGGTTCTGGTCACTAAACTTTTTTATTAGCGCGAAATATCACTGAACTAGTAAATCTGTACCGTTTTAATCACTCCGTGTATTTGTGCCGTCAGAAGAGACAGAAATCAACTTTTTGAAGGGCAAATTCGTCTGCACAGTCAAAAATCATTGTTGTCACGAGCATTTTTCCATGCTTCAACTGCCATCTTTACATCACGCATAATATTAAATAAAAACCAAGTTCAATCAGTGTAATATTTCTTTAATTGACGCTGCCAAGTAGCGCCCATAATATTTCTTACTTTTGTGAGAAAATTTGGGAAACAAATAGGTGAGTGCTTGAGCCCGGCAGGATCCTATTGCATCCGCCATCGACCCATTCTTCCACGTCCTCAAAATCCTTCCCTATTCCTTCCTCCGCCCTCCTCGTCTACGTCTAAAGCTCCCATCCTTCACTCTTCCATCCACCATGACCATCTACGCCTTGATCCTCCTCACCTACTTCCTCGTCGTGTCAGGGCTCGTCTACGATGTCATTGTTGAATCTCCGGGCATCGGATCTACTCAGGATCCTCGCACCGGATCAGTTAGACCTGTTGTTTTCCTCCCGGGTCGGGTCAATGGGCAGTATATTATCGAAGGGCTCTCCTCTGGGTTCATGTTTGTTCTTGGCGGAATTGGGATTGTGCTTTTGGACTTGGCTTTGGACAAAAATCGGGCTAAAAGCGTCAAGGTTTCGTTTGACTCAAGATCCTGCTGGACCCACTGCATCAGGTCTAAACAACGGGCTTCCTTCACTACCAACCAGAGAAGCGTATTCCAAACTCAGTTCATTTGCTATTCTCTCTGGGACATATCTTAATAGTAGCTCCACCAAAGGCTTGGAATTTCTTCTCACTGCTCTGTGAAGGAGACCCATCTCAAACATTGCAGACCTTAACAAAGGCTGCTCTCTTGCACCTATATTACCATCAAGAAGAAGATCTAGGAGTTTCTTCACGACAGCACACCAACCATGGTCTGCTGAGAACTGTATAATCCACTTGAATCGTGTGAAAGCAAATGGATGAGAATTTTGATCTCAGTGCCCTAGTTTAGACTTCAACTGACTTCTATGGAGAAGCCAACCAAATTCATGTATAAAATCCATGGCCAATTTTCTACTTTCGATTTTCACACCAAGACAATCTGTCTCAAGTAATTCCATTTCACTTTCAAACATACGGATATCAGAGCAAACATCCTTTTCAGCAACTATAAAAGGAAAAAAGCTGCTACTAAGGCCAAGATCTTCAAGCTGGATGGTTAAAATATATCAAGAGTAAGGAAAACAAGGAGAATTGCACCCAAATCATAAATTGGAAAAAAAGAATTTAAATTTTCTCACTATATTAAATAACCAACAGAAGAGACTGTGCAGACGAATTTGCCCCTCAAAAAGTTGATTTCCGTCTCTCCTGACGGCACAAATACACGGAGTGACCAAAACCGTACAGATTTACTAGTTCAGTAACATTTCGCGCTAATAAAAAAGTTTAGTGACCAGAACCGGCACTTTGAAATAATTTAGTGACATTTCGTGCAATTCGTTCTAAGAAAAATATATCAATGCAGGGTATAACAATTAATTGTCAGTGTACGAAATCACGCAATAGGTTATGTCATCAACACACACTACTGTATTCTCGTGACGAGCACTTATTTTATAATAATAATAAAAAAAACCCTTTAATAAATTACAACAGCGATTACAAACAGAGCTGCGTAGGTCATGTCCATCTCTGTTGGATAAAGGAACGGAGATGTGTGGGTGTCAATTTCTGATGGATTGCTTATGTAAGGTGGAGGGGCCCAGCTGAGGCCATTCCAATATTTTTCCCTATGAGGCTATGACATGTTTCTACTACTGTCCGTCGAGTTAACGAAACGGAACATATCTGATGGTTCTACCGTCCATTTGGTTTAAAGTAATGACAACGACCCTATGACATGTTTCTACTGTCCGTTTAAGGAAACAGGGGGCTGCCCTTCCCAGCATCCATAATAATGCTAATGCTGACAGAATCTGAGTGCTGCGGACTTCGCACTTGGCCGTCTATGCATGCGACAAAAAAGTCCTTGTGCAAGATCCTCATAATTTTAAAGCTACTATTTCCATGGGCTTGACAAAAATGCGTTCAAGCCATTGCAGCCCAATAGTTTCTCCATATTCACAACACAAGCAATCCTTCCTTTTTTTTTTTTTTTTTGCACCGTAGTCCTTTAGTTATCAAACCCATTGAAGATTAATTTTCCTAACACTATGGAAACTAGACGTAACGAAGAAAAATATGATCCAACTAAAATTGTAATCATCCAATGAACCCAAGGTAGAGGTCCTTCAGATAGTACGTAGGGACAAATGGACCAATTTTACACCATAAGTTGCCAGCCCAGATTGAGTTGCTCGAGGAAAAAAATTGGATCTCACAAGGGCAAAGGAGAAGAGGAAGAGCCCAAGCCCACTTAAGCAAAAAGATTATACAGGAAAAATAATACATATATTAAAAAAAAGGTCTTTTTACCAAAGGGGGCCATTTTAAGATGCGGCTCGTCCATTTGGATTAAAGGCTCAAAAAGGACAAAAAAATATCGCCACCACTATGTTCATGAGTTAACCCGCGACAGTGATGTTGCATGAAATACAAAAAGCAAAGTCCCCAGTCCTCCCCCCCCCCCCCCCCAAACAACCACTTAAAAGAAGAATCTAACTTTGAAAGTATAAATACAAAAGGAAATTAGAAATAAAAAAGAAAAAGAAGACAAAAGGCCCACTAAAGCTTTAGCTTAAGCTTCGCAGATCCAAAGCCACTGAGTCTTTTTTTTTTTTTTTCTTTCTTTGTTTTTCAAAGAAAAAAGAAAAGAAAAAAGATTTTTGGTAAAGTGAGCATTCTCCTTTTACTCGAACTTACTTAGTCAGCACGTACCATAGATTACTATTATTACATACTGAAAGTGGCTTGTGACCTTGATCCAGAATGTGAAACATGACCAAACTCAAATAAAACCATATTTCCACTTTTGGTCTTTCAAAATCTAAAAATTCTCCTAAATGTACTAATTAAGACCAAAAACATGCGTATAAAAATATAATGACAAGCATATCCGTTTCGTAACGCAACCTTTTTGGTTGGTGTGATACGTACACAGAGCACGGTCTCGTAATTAGTAGTACCAGATTATGTACTAGTAGTACCAGTTACAACTTCATGATCCGAGGAATTTTAGGGCGCGTTTGAGTTGCAATTTTTCTTCTGGTTGGATAGGGTGTTATTTGAAATAATTATTGTAACATTTTTTTATGGTTTGATGTATGTGAGATAAAAAAAAATAATTGAAAATATAAAAAAGTGAGTTGAAAAATGTGTTTACGAGGTAAGCGAAATATTATTTGCCAAAAAAAAAAGAAATATTATTTGAAAAAATAAGGTATCCAAACAAATCCCGCGTGTACATATTTTTTAATCATCTTTTTATTTCACATATATTAAATCGTTACTGCATTTTTTCTATAAAAATTTCAAAAAAAATGCAATTCAAACAAAGCCTTAGGTACAGTTGATGTTGCAGATTACATACCAAAGAAAATGTTATACTTATTTAACTTTAGAAAAATGTTATTTGTATTGTCACTATTTATTTTATCATATAATTTGGCATGTGAATAATATATGATTAAAATTATAATAAAAATGTGATTAAAAAATAGGGGTATAAATAACATTTTCTTAACATATATATATATATATATATATATACGTGCGTGTCTGTGTGTATGATTTTTTATTTTTATTTTTTATTTCTGGGAGGGGAGGGGAGGGGAGGGGAGGTGAGGGGTGTGGCGGGGGACTGGGGGAGGGGTTTGGAGGGTTGATTTTAATGCATTGGAATCTCTTAGATGGCGCAATTTAAGGGATGCAATAAAAAGTTGCCTGGGCACCATCTCCATTTCCCTAGCGGCTAGTGCTTCGTTATCTCCCCACCCCTTTCTTCATTTCTTACCATTTTCTCAACTCAACCCCACCAAGCTAGCTACCCTCTACTGCTCCCCACTCTCCACAATCCATCCCTCCCATTCTTCTTTTCCCCATATTCGGGTACTAATATATGCCTTTCACTCCCATTTCTTTCATTTTTTCTTCTCAATTTCGTATCTTCATCTTATGCTGTTTCTGGTTTCGAAGGTTATTTGCAGAATTCTAGTGGCTGGTATATCATGACAACGTTGTTTCCTTGATCAACTTTCAAATTTGCTCCCACAGCAGAGAGCCGTACCAATACGATCGGGCAAACGGAGAGAAGAACAAAAACATTAAAAAGATGCTAACATGCATAGCACGTTCCAAGCAACCCACGGATGATTCCGTTGATCATGAGCCCAATGGCAATCCCACTAGTAAACAAGCCATCAGAAATCTCACTTCTCAGGTGCAATCCAATTCCCAACACCCTTCATCACTAAAGAGATTCTCTCTGAAATATACTTGAACGCATAAACTTTTTTATGTGTCCCACACATTTTCTTACGTTGATTTATGGTTCAATGGCAGATTGTTTCCTAACTTCATCTTTTTTTAAAAAAATTTATGTTTGGTTTTGAGGTGTTAAAGATCAAGGATATGGCATTGAAGGCTTCAGGGGCGTATCGTCACTGCAACCCGTGCACGACTCAGCCGGTGCAGCAGCAGCCGCGGAAGAATGGGAGCAGCAGCGGCGGCGAGTCGGACTCGGTGTTGTCCGCCTCGTCCGAGAGGTTCCGGTGGTCCTACAGGCGGACGGGGAGCTCCAACTCCAGCTCCACTGCGGGGAGGAAGGAGCTGGAGGCTAGGTTGAAAGGAATTTCCAGCGGCGAAGGAACGCCGGTATCAGCGAGTGGTCGGCGAGTCGACCCGGTGGTGTTCGTGGAAGAGAACGAGCCTAAAGAATGGGTGGCTCAGGTGGAACCCGGTGTTTTAATTACCTTTGTCTCTTTGCCACGCGGCGGCAATGATCTTAAGCGAATTCGGTTTAGGTAATTAATACTCTCTTATTTTCTACACATAATTTTATCTGAATTTTGACGGAGTTTGGTGAGATTTTTATTTTTATTTTTTTTAAAATTATTGTTCTCCTCTGGATATAGACCTCTCCATTAATGCCATGTCTTTAGTTTTCACTTTTCGCATATGATAGTAAAAAAAAAAAAAAAAAAAACTAGTAATTTTTTTTTTTAAAAATCACAATATTTTACTTACTATTTATTTTATGGTGATATTGGCATATATCGTACATACTACATGTAATCCAAAAAGGTGAATTATTTCTTTTCCAGAAATAAACACTAGTTGTGATAATAATTGAGTTGTCAGTGGTGACTATGATTTGGCATAATTAATTTCTTGGACCAACCTGCTGCCGAAGTTTCTATCTTGACAAAGTTGCCCTCTCGTGGATTTCATGAGCAAATGTTGCATTACTAGCCAAGAAACTGCCGCAAACCTTTTAATGCATACATTTACTTTATACTGGCCACGCTATTGAAAAGCTCTCTATTCTAGTCTTCTAATTTCACTTCTTACCTTTCCTTTCCTCCCCCCCCTTTTTTTTTTTTTGAATCTAAAAAAATTACAGAGGGCAGAAAACTTCAAGAGTGAAAATTCTCACTTTCGCGTTCGAGTGATATGTGGGGTTATAGTTTAATTGAATGTCAAGTCATGCCCATCATAATGTGAGACACTTTAGCGCAAGAGAACATGTATACATCAAGTAGAGAATAAAAGAGCCTAGTTATATAATGACATGGGGAATTTCTTGGAAGGATTTCTCTAATATGAGAGGGAAGCTGCGTCATTGACTTGTGTTCGTGAGTTGCCTTAAAAAGGGTTGTAAAAGATTTCTAAAAGTTCACCTAAAAAACTTCTTCTCTTTATAGGATTGTTTATACCTTTTGCTGCTTTCCTGCATCTTGTGGATAATGCCACCCAATACAATGAATTGATCATGCATATTTTTTATGTTGAAATGGCGAACAAATGATGGCCCAATACTGGTTATTGGTAGTTTCTATCATTTCCAGCAATGTGCAAATGTCAGGTATGGTTATGGTGTAGGTGGGAAGGAAACAGGGGGTTTGGTTTTTGTTTGCCATGCAAAAAGGATACTTATTGCACTTATTACAAAAAGCAAGCGTGTTAAAAGTAAATTTTGACGCTCCATAAAAGTGGGTTTTAATCCTCCGTTAATTTCAAACCACCAGCATTTAGCAGGGCTTGAAGCAATTATGCTCTTGAGATAATGGAAAGGCCATGAGAATATTTATAGGACTTTGGCTACTTTTCAAAGTCCACAAAGGCAAAAAAGCAACAAATTCATCAAGACTTTGGTGGGTCAGGTTTGATTGTGTTGGCCAACCTTTCACTAGTTGTTGCAGTCTTGTCGGAAGATTGCAAATGCTTTCATTTTCCATCTTCCTCACGCGCACCGTTTGATTTGTCATCTTGTACCATTGTTGTCAATTTGTCTGTGAAGGACTAGGATGTAGGCGTTGCAACATTTGCACTTGCGGTCGCTTACAACTGCAATTTTGACAAAATGTGAATCTGAAATTGGCTTCTAAATAAGGGACATTACTGGGGAGCTTTCACTTTCTTGTTTGCTTAGAGTAAATACTACTATGATAAGGATGTAGCATTGTGAGATGGATGATTCATTTTCCAGGGGACCATAAAACTCTCTTCCTTTCTTGATGATGATAATGAACCCTCGTGCCACGGATATCCCAAATAACCTAATATTTTGTAAGGTTGGACATATTGTACTAGCTTTCTGGACTTCTAATATCTCTTCATGGATTGTGACTCAATATCCAAACCCGTGAAATGACTGGCTGTTTTCTTGGTTGGCTGCTTTCGCAAATTATGAGTCATGACCCCATTGTTTATTCACACTCTGAAAGCATCCATCCAAAGTCAAATCTATTCCCTTTCATCATCCATGCACCATGGATAGTTGTGGTTTTTTAAGTATGAATGGCGTCCTCTACTCCAAGAAATTTGTGGTGGCCTAGCTTAGTGGCCTACCACAATTAACACTGGTTGAATAAAGAATGAACTACTACTTTGCTAGGTGTAATCTTGTTTACCATAAGAATTCAGGAAGAATAATAATAAGAACAATAAAGAAATGTAATGGCAGGTATAGGGAACAAATCACTACTTCGTCCACCACGAAAACCAATAACAAAGTAATGCAGCACAAGAAATTTCTCTTATTGATGTTTCCATTGCTATGAGTTAGGCATATACAAAATTAAAAGAAGAAAGACGTATTATCACTTATCTGTTGCATGGTCATGAAATCTTCTGCATCTTTAACATCAAGTTTATCCCTCAAGACAATATTTACTGCTACCTAATTTCATTGTTGCACGTCTCTTCGGGGACATCCGATAAAATATAATTTCATTGTTACGCTCGTCATCTGTGTAGCTGATAGCTTTTGATGCATCAGAATGTATGCTTTTCACTTGTAACATGCAGATAAGCTAACTAACGTTTGCTGATATACTCTGTTCATCGGCCTGGTCAAGGCATCTGATTAAAGTTTATTATCTGCATTAGTCGAGAAACGTTCAACAAATGGCAAGCACAAAGATGGTGGGCAGAGAACTATGAAAAGGTTATGGAGCTTTACAATGTCCAGAGGTTGAATCGCCAAGCTTTTCCTCTTCCAACACCTCCGAGATCTGAAGATGAGGTGAGCGTACTTAACCATGAGATTATGTTAAACGCTTTGGCAGTTGGATCCTGCATCATAGACATAGTACCAATTTCAAACTGAGGACATTATGTACACTTTGTTATCCGAACATCCATTTTGTGGATTTTAGCGCATCCTCCAAGCTGCTGACTAGTATTAATCCGATTAAGCTAATCAGGTCACACAAATTAGTGACTTGCTCTTCTTAACAGTGACATTCTAATCACAAAGTGTCATTCTTTTATAGAGTTCAAAAATTGAGTCCGTTGAAGACAGCCCCGTAACTCCACCATTGAGTAGAGAACCGCTTCCTCGTACCCTCTATCGCCCAACAGGAATGGGATACTCTTCCTCTGATTCCCTTGAACAACATTCGGCAATATCTCGTCATAATTACGACTCTTGTGGTGTTGCATCTACTCCAAAACTCTCAAGCATAAGTGGTGCTAAGACAGAAACATCATCAGTTGATGCCTCGATGAGGACCAGCTCATCAAGAGATGCAGATCGCTCTGGAGACATATCAATCAGCAATGTCAGTGATCTAGAAACTGAGTGGGTTGAACAGGATGAGCCAGGAGTTTACATCACTATCAGAGCACTAGCAGATGGAAGAAGAGAACTCAGACGTGTCAGATTCAGGTTTGTTCTTCTGCATCTTTGCACACTACTGTACCTGCATACGTTTTCGAATGCATTGAAGCAGATGGTCAACAAGCTTCCTAGAGAAGAATGCTATGCTGTTGGATGGTAAAGCTTACTTATAGAAACTTACTGCCCTCACCATATGTTTGCTTAACACTTACTGAAATCTAGCAGAACACAGTTTGATAAGCGAATTCATTTGATTCAGACAATTCAGTCATGTCTCACAGGACTTTTAGCTTCTATTGTTTAACCAACCATCTGTTTAGATGAACTTCATTTGATTCACACTGACGCATCTCAAATGAAACTACAAGAGTCTAACCCTTTGTTTATTGTTATATTTAGGTAAATAGGGCATGCTAACTTGATTTTTTTTGCATGTATAATTTTCTGTCAAATGCAGTCGTGAAAAATTTGGGGAGATGCATGCTAGACTATGGTGGGAAGAGAACAGAGCCAGGATACATAAACAATACTTGTAAGTTGGACGGGTTTCTACATATACCGCTGCTTGTTGCTGTTTGAGGAATGAAGAGGAGAGCTTCTGCCTGCTAGAAGGCAGCAGTATTCATTCCAAAAAAACCAGAGTCCCTCTCTGAGAAAATGGACCAAATTTCACACATGAAAGTGATGCATCATGTTAGAAGAGTTCAAGCCTTTCGACTGCAATTATATATACGCAACCTTCTGGTTGTGAGTCATTATAATCTTTTTGCTTTTCATGTTTATATTGTCTAAACTATGATGGGTGGGGAGCATCCATACCATTTGTGGGGGTCTAATTGGTATACAATTTGAGAGTCAGGAATATTGAAGGTGCACATCAAAAAAGATGTTTATGTGGGCAAAATTTTCCATATTATCCACCCATTAATATATTTCATGTTATGAATGAATCACCCTTTATGGTCTGTAAATGTTTCATGCTATGCTTTGGGAGAATGAATCAGAGATCGAATTTGATCAATCCTCATTTTTCTTATTTTGGTTTGTTGCCTTGCATGTTGAGCAATGAGTCTTGCGGTCTTGACCATCTTCTTTTCACTAATCAAAATAGTTCACACACCCGAAGACAATAATATTTCTAAACACAATTTCAAACGCCAAAACTACGCAAAGGCACAAGAAACAAATCATTTTTGAACTGAAATCCTAGTAAGCATAAGCATGGTGCCTCTTGAACTATGAAATCTTAAAACTAGCAAAAGGTATTAACGCTGCAAAAAAGTTCATACTGATTAATATCCACAAGCTGTATCTAGGCAAATTCCCAAAAAAAAAAATAAATTCACCAAAGCATGCATTCTAGCAGTCATATTCACGAGAAAGAGCAAATTCCAAAGAATTATTCAATAAGCAATAAGCATGCAGTCTAGTTGTAAAATTGTATCTTGATTTAGCAGATGATACATAAGAAAACCGACCAACAATGGACATGCTTAAACCTCCTTGAAAGAAGTACGAATTCATAGACTTTCCAATAAACTTTGCTCAAATGGATTTATCAACATTGTACTTGTTTGGATTGTGATTTTCTGAAAAAAAAAAAAAATTTTTTTACGTTTTCTGTGAATACATTTTTCAATTACATTTTTACCTCACATACATTAAATCGTTACAATACATTTTTCTACAAAAACTTCTTGAAACGGCAATCCAAGCAGGTTAATTCTTCAAAATGACCAGCAAGAGAATTAGGAATAAAGATTTACGAAAAGCAAAAATAGATGGGTGATATGAAGATAGTAAAAGGAGATAACATAAATATAGTTAAGGGATTTTGAGTTGGCTGGTGCTTTCTTTGTAATCAATCCTTTGTGACAAATTAATAGTACAAGGTGTTGAAGTGGAATAATTGGAAGTCTAGGTTGGAAAGTTGCAATTAACCCAAAAAAGAGAGGCAATAAGGGTTGAGGTGGACCATTCACATTCCACCATAGCATAAAAAATGAATTAAGTAGTTCAGTTAAATCCGTTGAGGCGACATTTCACAATTTCGAAACCCAGAGAGAGCGAGAGAGAGAGAGAGAGAGAGAGAGAGAGAATGAAAGCGGCCGTCACTGCGATTCAACTGCACTCACATCCTTCAGCATTCAACTTCGCCAGCCAAAAAAATCCGAGTTGTTTTCCCTCGGCTTCTCATCTCGACAGCTCACATTTCTCTCGGAAATTTAACTCCCATTTTTCGTTTACTTTGAATTCTGGAAAATCGATCAGAACAGTTCTGCCAGCCCCAATGTCAATGTGCACCATCACTTCTTCGTACAAGCCGGAGGAAGCTAGGGTTCCGCCTGCGATTCCCATCCCGAAACCTCCTATTACTAAGGCAAGCTTAGAGATTGACTAAGAAAATACTACTTGTATCCGAATTGTTTGAAATGCTTGTTTTACTATCAGTTAATTATCATCATTTGTGTACTAAACTGTCCTACTATGATCATGTGCTTGTCGAATCTTGTGGAGTTTGTTGCTCCTTAAATTCCATTCACTTTAAGAAATTAACGTGGGTTTTGAATTATTGTCCCTAACAACTATGTTTTTAATAAATTTCAGTTCAAAATCGCTCTTTGTCAATTGCTAGTAACAGCTGACAAGGAAAGGAACATTGCCCATGCTCGGAAGGCCATAGAAGAGGCTGCAGGAAAGGGTGCTCAGCTTGTCCTTCTTCCCGTGAGTAGCAGACTTCAATTTGTTCTTGTGTTCTTTAGTTAATTCAGACTTGTGGATTATGTCTCTTTCTGGTATTACAATCTATCCTTGCCAAAATTCTCAAGCTAAAAGTTTCTTCTGATTGGGTGCTAAGATACTACGTTGAGGAAGGCTGTCTCTCCTGTATTCTCTGGTATTAGTCAACCTGTTGTTGCATGCTTCATTAAATTGTAAAGTTGCTTGAAATGACTAGATTTTTCCCTTCTTAAAGCTGAAAAACTAGTTGGCCAAAACGGCAACACTGTCTAATCTAATCTAGGGAGGAAGCTCGACGATAGTGCATTGGTCAGTCGTGCTACTTGTGTGGATTTATCTATAGTATCTCTTCATCCATGCCTTTGCTTCTTGTAATGTCAAAGAAAAATAGCAACCTTTTTTACCCCTCCTGTGACGTCAGGAAATATGGAATATTCCGTATTCGAATGATTATTTTCCAGTATATGCGGAGGATATAGATGCCGGCGTTGGTGCTTCTCCTTCAATTGCAATGTTGTCTGAACTATCTGAGAGGCTCAAGATCACCATTATTGGTGGCTCCATACCTGAACGTAGTGGGGATAAATTGTATAATACTTGCTGCGTCTTTGGTGCAGATGGAAAAATTAAGGGCAAGCATCGTAAGGTCAGTCTTTACGGTTCTGGCTAATGTTATGTGTCCAATGTCCAATATAAGTCTTCAGCTTACAAACTCTGAATTCACTGAGAAAAATGATGCTGTAATTGTTTGATTTAATAAATTATTTCAACCACACTGCATTGTTACAGATACATCTCTTTGACATTGACATTCCAGGCAGGATGACCTTCAAAGAATCAATGACTTTTACAGCAGGGGAGAGTCCAACTATTGTGGACACAGGTTCTTTGTGCTTTCTCTTGTACTGATACAATTAAAGAATAATTGTTTAAAGTTTGACACAGGTTTAAGAGCTCTATGCCAAATCCAGTCTGCAAACTACATTTCTTTATCTTAAGGAAGACTGTTGTTCTGTTTGCTGATAGCTTGAGAAGTGCAAAGTTAATTGGCTTACTTTCAATAGGATACCAGTTAAATTCGGCTAATGTCAACTAATGTTTACTTGCTTGAATGAACTCATTACTTGTGTTTCTATTTTCAATTTAGTCAAATGGAAAACCTTGGTTTTGTATGCAGAAGTTGGGCGCATTGGAATTGGGATATGCTATGACATTCGGTTTCAAGAACTGGCTGCCATATATGCAGCAAGGGGTATAATTTTAATTCTTTCTCTTACAACTGACCTATAATCAGTATTTAAAGAAAAAAAATCCAGATTTTACCCTTAAGTTATAATTGTACTCACTTTACATGTCATTCTGCGTATCATCATGATTAATTTGTCAATAGTGCTAAAATGGGCAGGTGCTTGATATACGAACTTTTTTTGAGATGACGTGCTGGGATTTATGTACCCAGGAAATGCCATCAGCCTTGATTTTTTATTTGAAATGGATTCAGTTTTCATTGGGAAATTACCTTTTATTGTTTCAAGTTAATTAGATGATTTTATATACACCTTCTTGGCAATTAAAAGTTTCTTAACTTTTTTAGAAGCTTGTTAAAATTATTGATCTTGCATGTTTAAAAATACTTTGCTAGGTTATAATAGTTATATGTTGATTTTCTTCCACAGGAAAAGAGAAACAACACCGCATTTCTGGCCAATTTAATTAGCCTGGCAGTTTTTTCTACTTCAATATTCAACATCATTTACATCTTATACTGGTTAATCTGCTAGAAATGACTCTTTGAGAAAACTTATCTGTCTTTTATCTAGGTGCTCACTTGCTTTGTTATCCTGGGGCTTTCAACATGACCACTGGTCCACTGCACTGGGAGTTGTTGCAAAGGGCAAGGTAATGGAAAATTAAATGTCTTTGAATACAGGAATGTTTCATTGGCATTTGGTGTGTTCAATGTCCTGATGGATGACTTCAACTTGTTGTCCACTTCTAAGCATATGGATGTTTTCTTGAATCTTTCATGAACTAATACTCAGTATTTGTTTCTTGACCTCCAGGGCAGCAGATTGTCAGGTAATCTATGGATATCAACATAATCTCTGGTGCAATTTTTATCTGTTAAGTTTTATCTGTTGACTTATCGTCTGCCTGCCCTGATTGGACAGTTGTACGTTGCTACTTGTTCACCTGCTAGAGTGGATAATGCTAGTTATGTGGCTTGGGGGCACTCTACTGTTGTTGGGCCTGTAAGTAACTTGTAATGCCTCCTTTTCTTTTGACACTTGCGTTTGTGATAAATGTTATTTGTTCAAGTACTCGAAAGTATGAGATCTGCCACCAATTTGCTGTGAACAAAGCCTTACAATGACATCAATTCCAGCCATGTGATGGCATTTTGTCTACTAATGTTGGCCTTGATAATTTTGAATCATTAATCGGACATAAAGTACTGTGCTAAAGAAACTTATTTTGCAGTTTGGGGAAGTGATTGCGACAACAGAACATGAAGAGGTGATAGTGATAGCAGAGATTGACTATTCATTAATAGAACAGCGAAGGTAAAATGCTGAGTTTGCAGAGTTATTTAGACTTACAATTAGGCATAACTGTCTTTGGCTTTCTTTCTGTGTTTGCTTTTGCATTTATGCATGTTGTTCAAGAGATTAATAAATGCTCATATATCCTCTTGACTAAATGGTTATAGTTTGTGCTTGCTAAATGTGATTTCTGATTGACATGAAGATCAATTGGTACCATAATTTGCTTGATCTATTGATGTGAACGGTTTCTTTTTGTTACCGAGAAGGAAAGAACTTCAATATTGCTTTGATACTTTGAAATGCATGCCAAATCATTCCTCAAATCTGGAATGAAAGTAGATGCCAACTAAAAGGAAAAGAAAGAGAAACAAATGAAGCACATCCTAGCGAGCATGTGCTGCTAACGTACCACCATCTTATTTCTGTGCTCGTCTCCTGTCACTGGTATCACTCACTTGACGCATTTCGTATTTTATATACAGGACGTACCTTCCATTTCAGAAGCAAAGACGAGGTGATCTTTATCAGCTAGTTGACGTCCAAAGGCTAAATACAGGAAAGAGTTAAAAAGTTCTCATCCATTGATACAGCGGAGATCCGGTTGTAAGGAGGAATCAGTTGGAGATCTGGAGGATGCCTTGAATGCCTGGTCCCTGTAGTTCACAGGGCCACAGCAGCGTCTGCGACTTGTGATACTCATTACTGTATAGACCTTTTTGCCCTCCATCCTTGTGCCATACACTGGGATGCAAGGCTTTTTCTTGGTTTTGCTCATTGAGGTAATAGGCGGAACTCGAATTCTTGCAACAAAAGTTTGGTTAAGTCTAATGCAAATTTAGTGCGTTTGATCAGCTTGAATAACGAATATTGAAGCATTATTGTCATTTACTTATCCACATTCCGTTGGCTTAGCAGTGGTGCGGAAATTGGAAGCTGAACGTGTCCCATGCTGCTTTAGACTCCAATTTAGGGTTTCCGGATGGCACATCCGGCCCTTTTTCTCCCCCAGATCACCGTCCTTCGCCTCTGACAAGGAAAAAAAAAAAAAAGTGAATTTACAGGTTTTGCTGCTTAATGGTTGTTAAAATTTAATGTGTAAGGCTTTGTTCCCTTTAAAGAAGAAAGTAATTCCGCCTAACTTATGTTGGTTGTTTGCGCTCACATGCTAGCATAGAAATGGAGACATTCGGAAAGCCTTTTCTTTTTTCTTTTTTTAAAAAAAAAATCCTTTTCCTAGCAGGAGACAAGTGGGATTTAAGAAACAAGCAAAATTTTTTAGGTTTTGAGATTCAAAATTGAACCATCCACTGTGGTTGGATATAATATAAGAGAATAGACCTGAAAAGGTGCGGCAAAGTAAAGCGAAACTGAGCAGCTCTCACGGAGGCCACCCTGTCAGTACCAGAATCACACGCACGCGCGGCAAGACCTTTCACTTCACTGTGTGTGTATATAATCCCCGGGCGGGATAATTGCAGAAACCTCAATTGCACTCACCTCCTCTAATGTTTTGAAAATAACACTGACCTCCCCCAACTTGAATTTGGGACCTATAACTAACATAAGATGGAGTGAATTTACTTCTATGCCCTAAGAATTTAAGGTTGTTAATAACAAATATGAGGCAAAAAAAATTAGGACAATAAACAAGTTCATGACAACTAATTCAACAAGATTAACAATTTTTTCTTCTTTGATTGTGCACTACAAGTGTGCGTCACAAAATGGCGCCAATTGATGCTCTAGCATAGTGCCATTTTGTGAATGATAGCACTTGAGAGGATAATCCAAATCATATATTATCTGCATATAAAAGAAGCAGAAGTAAGAAAAATACGGGGGAAATAAACCTCCAGATAAGGATCCATAAGAGAATAAATTCTAACGGTTTTGGCTAAATTCACTTCATCTTAAGCATTCATGGAACGGAAGGAGGAAGAAAGTAGAAATAAAGGTACAATATCAATAGTCATTAAAGCAATTATTAGATTGATGATGAGTAGTGTGTTGACTATGGCATTTGGTTGTTCTGACTTTGCCATTTTGGTGAATTCCATGATTTTCCCCCAGTGGCTTGACGAAGCCATTCTTTTGGCACCACTACTTCATTTTTAACTAGCAAACTAATCACCAAAAAAAAAAAAAATTACTGTTAGTGGTTTTTGAAAAGTTTCTATGCATATTAGTGAAGGAAAATTTTTTGAGTTAGTTGTATACTTTATATGTTTTAGAATTTCAGATTTCTGAACGTTTGTTCGTTCTTTCTTCCAGTTGTTGCTGCTCCACTTATTCTCTTTGCATTTATATCCCCTTGAATTTCACTAGTTGTTTTTACCTTTTAATATTTTTTATTCTTTTAATAATACAAACTCACAATAGGTAAAAAGGGAACAAATGGAACAATATTATTATCTCACTTCTCAAAAAACTTTCTTAATGGTATTTTCTCTGGCATGGACTGAATTTGCTACTAAAACGTTAAGTTCAGGGGAGGTTCGTGCTATTTTCGAAACCTCAAGGGAGGTGAGTGCAACCACAAAAAACCTCAGGGGAGGTTTCTGCAATTATCCCTATAATCCCCTCCTATTTTCTACATGTCAACAGGCATCAATTACCAGTTCTATGTGTCTCTCTCTCTCTCTCTCTGGTTCCTATTTAGTCCCAACATTTAAGCCGTAGCATTGGGCTTTTCAATTTCACTCTAATCTCGATATCAACTATCATTCCCTTCAAATTTTCTCTCTTTTAACCAGTTCGTAATCATCAACTACAGTATATGCAGCACTGTGCTCTCTTGCATTCCTGCATCAGTTTTCATGTCAAACATAATTCTGTTCTCAATCTAACATCATCACTTGCGCTTACATTTTCTTCTCTTTGTAGTTCTTTCACATGAATCTCATTTCCATCTATTAATGCCAGTTTTCTGTTTCTTCTCCTTGTAACTTTCTTCCTTTCTTCTTGTTTGTGAACATATACATATTCAAACATGACTACGTGGGAGAGGCCTGTTAGAGGAGAAAGGCATCAACAGCGAAGAAAAACACCGTCATTTTCTTCATCTCTTCTTGATGCCATATATCATTCCATTGATGAATCCCAAGGCAAAGAAGAAGAGCCAAGGCAAGAACTGGATCCTGCTCTCCTCCATAGAAAGAGAAACAATGCAGCTGAATTTGAAGAAGAGATTGCAAGTATCCGACGAGCAATCATGGTTGAGAAATGGATGGAAAACTACGGAAGCAGTACTAGAGGCTCGAGGTCGAGGCACATCAATTCAGATTCAAGCTCGTCAACAGACTCGAGCTTGTTTTCATCCTCAGAAACAGACTCTGCATCAAAATCCACTCCAAAATCTTCAGTTTTTCATGCAACACCGAAAGCAGCTCACCAAACACTTGTTCCTGGAGCAACTCCAAAACATGAGGGCGGGTTCATGCGGACAAAATCAAGGGCCCCGAAAATCTATGGAGACTTAAAGAAGGTGAAACAACCAATTTCTCCAGGTGGGAAAATCAAGAATTTTTTGAATTCCATTTTCACTCCAAGAAATTTGAAGAAACATGAAGGGATGGAAGATTGGAGTTCAGTGAGGAAATCGAGATCAGTCAAGGACTCATCTACCACATGTTCTCTGACTTCCAGGTCTTGCTTGAACAGACCACCACCTCCTTCAAGAGGTAAATCAAAGCGGTCTGTCAGATTTTGTCCTGTTAGTGTTATTGTCGACGAAGATTGTCAACCCTGTGGGCACAAGAGCATAAATGATCATCATGATCCAAGTCTAACACTGGTGCCAAATATTAACAGTCATTTCCTCAAGAAGAACATTGACAGTTTTAGGAATTATGAAGAAAAGAAATCAAAGAAATATGGCTTCAGGGGATTTTATGAGAACAGTGATGATGATGGTAATAGCTGTACTAGTTCGGATCTGTTTGAACTCGATAACATTGGCATTGTTGGGGTTGGCCATGGAGCTCATAGGGAGGAGTTGCCAGTCTATGGAACTACAAACCTGAAAATCAATCAGGCGATTGCCAACGGGTTGCTTATGTAGCTCAACTTGTAGTTAGCTAGTTAGACGAGTCATGTAACATGAATGGTTCATGGATAACTGATCATTTTCTTCTCTGTTTGTGTTATGTTTATCTAGGTTTGTATCATAATGAAATTGATTTTCGAGACTACTTTGGATACTTCAAGGTTCTGTAAAGTTCAGGGGAAAAAAGTGCTCAATGGGAATTATCGCGTGGAAGCAGAGACATTTACGGCCTCGTGAAATATGAAATCTACTAATGATCCTCGGTTTTTTCTTTCTTTCTGAAAGAATCTAGCAAATAGCCTTTCCAAACTCTATGCGCGTTATTGTTCTTCTAAAAAGCATCTGCAGTCCACCAGATATTTTGGCATCAGAATTATCCAAGGAGTAAATCAAATACACCTTTAATCTCAAAGAATTAAAAAGCACGCAAAGGCTTTCTTGAAACACCATATATGAGTAACTTGCAAAAAATTTTCCTTCCAGAAGGAATAACCCTTAATCAACATATATCTGTCCTTTAGCCTTATCTCTTCCGGAAAACATATAAATATTTGTTTGATAGTAGTGTTTTTTTACTTCAACATCTCAAAAGCAACTTCTTGGACCAGCGCCATAATATTATTGATAATGCAAGGAGAAATTTCAAGTTCTGGTAGGTCTTTTTCTACTGTCACAATCGTGATGATGGTGATCTATACATGTTTCTTTGTGTTGAAGAAAAATGATTTCTTTTTAACTTTTGCAATTTATTAATAAGTGGAGCATATGTCTACTTATTATCAAATTGTTCAAATGTCACTATGTGAAACTGTTTCATGATTTAGTTAATTTCAATGTGTCGCGACCACGCATTGCATTCCATACTTTTGGACAAAAAGAGAAGTTTCAAAAGCGACCTCTTCAGAGAAAGGGCAGCAGCATCTTTACAGCACGGTGATATTGTATGATTCTGTCTACTATTGTGACAAGAGCTGGAATTGAATTCATACGCATAGTTGTTGAGAAGATGGACAACATTGACCTAGAAACATTTCCAAATGTGAAAAGAAGAACAAGGAAGACTGCTACAAAATCGTTTGAATTGAACCCTTCAAACAAAAACTGGGAACTTGCACCTATTTTGATTCTTACCGTGCTTCAGGTTTTAAAAAAGTTGCACCACCAATGCGCCTTTGCTTTCAACCAACCAACTCCACTCGCAGGGGGACTAATTTGACATGTTGCGGGCAGCAAATATTGTTGTAAATAATAGGGATATTTCAAAAGACTTTGTCCCATATTAAAAAATTAAAGCGACTTCTTATCGTTTATAATGCTTACCTTTTATCAGGCTTGTATTAAGTTGGTAACTAGTGTGGACTAGCGCGCATGAGAGGAGGGAAGTTGAGTTGGGCCGTTTTGGTACAAATTAGCGGATTTAACCCCCCCCTCCCGCGTGTGGGTTAAACGCGGCCCAAGTTAGTCAGGGCACATTCATTTCTGTCATACGAAAAATTAGGCAGTCACTCAAGCTACATTTTTATTAGCTTTAGTTAACTCAAGCTACAAATATAACTCTCAAACTCAAAAAAGAGAGTCTGCTGCTTCCTGCTACTACTAAAATGGTCCGGACCATTCAATACAGTTGAGCAGTTACAGCTGTCAAACCCAAATCTGATCATCAGCTTGCCCTCACTCGTGATTTATCTCATTTTCTGGGGTAAGTAGACTGCAATCGTTCTTATTACATCTTCAGGACAGTTAAAATTTGACACTACTGTTATTATGCCATAATTATGGTTGTCAAGCAAGACTACTGTTCGAAAGCAGGAACAAGTCATGTATCTTCTATACCTAAATATAGCAGCAGGTAAGGTGACTTTGATAAAGCATGTACTGCTGCTGCTCTATTAAGATATGACTGACTACTGTTTGCGCCCAGCCAAACAGATAAAAGGCCAATCCAAGCACACAGTAATATCTATGTCACATTCACGCAAGAAAGGACAGGACGGGGGAAAAAAATTATATTGGAGTCCTAGTGGATGAAAAAGGGACCCCTGAGGAATCTCAGAAGTCAAAGTATAGCAGGATCATACATGATAGCGCACATGCACACTCCGCTTTTGCAACCAAGAAAAAGTAGATTTGCAGGACTTCACTTTGCAACCCCCCATGGCGTTGGGGCATGGCTTCATTGCGGAGCCACTAATTATTTGAGTATTATATTAAAAATCTAGATGTAGAAAAAAGGATTCAATATCCATATTAATAATTCTCTTTTCTGTTTTAGTACTTTCATTGCTCTTTCCTCTTAATTGAGAATTTTGAGACTATCATCGATCAATTGCTAGTGCTTTGGCGCAGTGCAAAATTTTCCATTGTAACC